CCGCGCCTGTTTAGACGGGAGGGTGAGTCCTACAATTCCCAGCATTCGCCAGCCAAGTAGGCTGGCTGGGGAATGCTGGGAATTGTAGGATTTTCCCTTTTTCCTGTTTAAATGCGCATAGCATTGGACCCTAAAGGATTTAAGGCAATAAAGTGCAGTCAGAGAGCGCAGACTGCCAGTTGAGGCAGAAAAGGTCCCACAACCCCCAGCATTACTGGGAAATCTCGCTCCCTCGCAGGGCTTACCTGGCTGTAACTTTTTCAAGCTCGCGACCTTAATTGGTCCGCATGAAAAGTAAGTCGAGGAAGTTAGTCCAGTGTTAACGGGGCGGAAGGCGAGAGCCAATGGCAGGCCACGCGAAAGGGGAAGGCAGCCAATCGGGGCGCAGATGTGTGTGTGCGCCGGGGGTGGGGGCGAGAACCCGAAAAAGTATGAGGAAGAGGTGGGGATCGAAAGAAGGGGGGCAACGCCGCTCCTCCCCCCTCCACAATCCCACACGGAGGAAGGATCGTGATGCACAGAGGGAAGGATGTTGGAACCGCGGCTTCAGCCAGCGCTGATGCGCGAGGTTGTCAACTTTTTCACCCGTTCGTGCAGCTCCAGGCTGCAGCGCCGTGAGCGGGAGGAGGGCACGCCGTAAAACGCTTCAAGCCGGGTGGATCCGCGGATCGCCTCGTAGTCCGAGGGGCTGGAGCAGGCAGGGGAGCCCCGGAGGTCGGCCGCCCTGCGCTCGGTTTCCAGGGGTGCGTGGTAGTGCTTCTGCAGCCCGCGCAGCGCCATCCACGCACGGGGGCAGGAAGCATTCAAGGGAAGGGAAAGCCTTTAAGGGCCCGGCTCCATGCTCGGTCAGAGAAAAATAAAATAATTATAATAAAAAGTCCCCACAACTTCCCAGCCACTTGTAGGGACTTTTTCTGTCTTAACCGTGCATAGGATTGCACCTTAAAGGGGTGGGGAAAACCCCGAAAGCGGCGTGTTGCGAGCGAGCATGCGCAGATGCTTCAGGAAGCAGGGTCTGGTCGAGGGCTTCAAAAGCAGCCGCGTTGCGCGAGTGCGCAAGCTTCTCAAAGGAATTCTGGCGCAATCCGTCATGACCTGTAGCTCACGTCTTCAGATGCACGAAGTGTTACAGTGCTATTCCGCCTGGGCAGGTGTATTCCTGGGCGCAGTGAGGGAAAGGTGCAAGTATGAGGTCGTTGGGAAATGCAATGCACAAAGGTTTTAAAAAGAAATTCAGATCGTTAGTAGCTGTACCTATCAATTTTCACTAGAGGGTAGCAAACTGTAGGAAAACGGGAGAGTTTCATGGTTATTCCTTTATTTAACAGCAGGAGTGGAGGAGTTTCCAGAGGTTGGTGGACTCCAGCTCCCATCAGCTTCTCTCAGTATGGAAATTGGCTGGTGGTGCCTACCGACTTTACCTGGCCCCAGTCCACTGCAGTGAAAAATTTGGAATTCTTGGAAGCAGTGTGTCCTTAGTATTTAATCACATTAGCTCCCCTGTTCCAGTTTCCACCCACTCTTTTTGCGGAAGGCCACACAAGTGAGTGATGCTTCTTTAAAATAAAGGAAAATTCCTAAAACACGAACCCATTCCTTCCCTCCTGTTTCCTGGAGTTTGACCCCCAGCACAGTACATTGGTGTATGATCATTAGCCATAGGAGCAATGTGAAGCCTACATATCCAGTGGAAGTCTACCTTTAAACAGATTCCCTGCAGACACTGTGCATGATGACAGAGTGCAGTATTGGATAAATGAATGACTTGATCCAGTGCATCTCACCTTATCCCATTAAGCCTTCCTCTGCTTGCTTCTGTATCCATGAGTGTAGGTTGTATTTTGACAATCCTGGAAACATAATTGTTACATTATTACCCTGCAAAGCACAGCCTAAGCAGCAACATGAAACAGGTTGTCTAAACTAATTTCCAAATCCAGATTCCAAAGAGATATGTGTGTGAATGGGGGTGGCGGTGACATGCAGGTTCTTAACACGGGCCTGTAAAATGTTTCTTCTGAACAAAGGCCAAGGAAGAGGAACAGATTTGGGCTGAAGGGGATTAGTGTGTCTGAATATGAACACAGTTGTAGCAGCGCTCGTTCTTTTCTAAGTTTAATATCTTTGGGGAAAACATTTCCTCATTGCCCCATGCTATGTGCTGGCTGCATACGCACAGCACAGCAAGCAAGAAAAAAATAGTTCTCTGTTGAGCATGTTGCACAGATTAACCTATTCTTGCTACAAAGGATCCGAGTGGTGCGCTCGTTTCCCCTGGTATTTTCTATAATCCCAACTGAAGGTGAAGGTTGGGATTATGGGGATGTGCATGTACAGCTTCCCCCCCCACTCTCTCTCCCCCACAGTTTGAGCAGTCTGTGGCCTACAGACTGGAAGAGATTTCTGGATTGCTCTTTGGCTTGGTTGCTAGTTGAATTTGGTCCACCATTGCTCAGTCTGAGATTCAGAGCAAAGGTTGTGTGTTCCTTTTGAAATGAACAATGCTGTTGGTGGGCTCATAGCCAAGAAGCTTGTTGCAAAAGGATGGGGAATAATCGCCGAAGTTGAATGTAGATATCCTAATATGGGTGGCTTATGGCTTGCATTCCACACCTTGATTTCTGCAAAGGAAAAGAGTCTAGGAAGCCTGATGGCCATTCAGGAGACCTCTGAAGGTCCGTATATCAGACACACTATTTTCTCTCTCTCACACACATGCACACAGTACAGACGGCACAATAACAAACTCAAGGTTGAGTATGGGTTGCCATTGACTCACATTTCAGCAACAACTCATGGTTTATCATATTGCCTGAACCCAGTTGTGCTAACAGGCCATAGCTTGTTAACCTAACCATGAACAACCCATGAAAAGAACCCATGATTTGTTGTTGGGCTGTAAACTGTGGTTTGTTCACTGTGGTTTAACTGGGTGGGGTTCTGACAACACAACAGCCCACATTTCAACAAGAAATGTTTGGCAATAACCACCATCAACCGATGCACATTTTGAGAGTGGGCTGTGATTTTATCATGGCTTCAGCCTCCCTTCCCTGTGCAGGTGAGTTGCCTGGAGGAAAGGATTTCCGTCTCCAGCACAGCATACTGGTTGGGGAGTTGTGCAAAATAAAGAGGATAAAAACCAGGTCCGCTCCGCTTCTCAATCGGCACCATGGATCAGCCGAGGAGTGGAAAGGCCAGATTTTAATCTCCTCAGTAGTGTGCCAGTCAGAATGCTTTTCAACTTCTTCCAACCTGCAGCAGTGGATATTAAAATGGTGCCAGGGGAGAAGGAGGCGCACAGCCTGGGAAGCGCCATGGGCCAGCTTGGAGAGCAGTGTGTGCTGCATTACTTTCATGGGCTGGAAGTTCCCCAATCCTGGACTTGGAACCTTTTTAAAGGAACCCTAAAATTCAGCTGGAAGGCACTCAGAGGGGATGAAGCTGGGAAACACTGGCTCCACCAACAATGAAAGGTTTGGAATATGCATTATATTTTAAAGCAGGTGTGGAGCTGCTGCCGATGTTGTTGGACTCCAGTTCCCATCATCCCAATTGGACTGGCTGGGACTGGTAGGCATTGGAATTCAACCACATGAAGAAGATTCTATGCTCTCTTAAGAGACTATGACAAATAGGAGGAAGATGAAATGTCTGGGGATGGTGATACTGATGCAGCTGAGGGTGGGTCAAAGTGATGGACCTCAGGAAAGAAAGATGAACCAGGCAGTTAAACCGATTTGAATACCAGAAGAAAGAGACATTTCATACTTTTCTTCCTGGCTCAGTTGAAGGAAAGGGGTTTGTAGACAAGGAGGAATTAAGGGAGGTTTACAACCTCTCCAGTTTATACACCCATAGGGGGACCTCTTTCAAAGTTGGAAAATGCTCTTTACTTAAAGATATTTTGAACCGTTTTATTTCTTGCCATCAGCAAAGCATGTGGTGGAAGCCCAGGGATTGCCTGGCTTGTAAAAAGTGAAAAAAGAAAGAAAAGAAAAGGGAGGCATTTACTTGAGCAACCATTTCTATGGCTCACTGGTGGACTGAGAGTTTATAGAAAAGCCAGCCATATTTTGGACTTGGGGAAAGATGTTGAAAATTGGGGAGGGCAGGAAAGGCAGCCTGGAGTTTGATTGACTGGGCTTGAAAGATGGAAGGGGAAACTAAAGAAGAAGAAAGATGAAGACAAAGAAGAAACAGCCCTGAGAATAGCCTAGGCACATTCTGAAAGCTTGCTCAGAGGAGTCCCTAAGAAAAAAATTCAGACTGGGCCCACCCCTGTAGCACTGCGCTTTGGCCTCCCTTACTCTGCATGCTAAAAGACGGATGGTTTTGATTAACTTAATGAAAGAGGGAAAAAATGGAGAACGCCTGCTCTGGCCTGGGACGAATCTGTGTTTTTGCAACAGCTCTATGCGTCACGCTCCCTCGTGGGCCATGGAAATGGGAAACGAGAGAAAGTTAACCACTTGGAGTTTGGACCGCTGGAGAATGGAGTGAGCAGCTGTGTCTCCTGCAGACAGCACCAGAGGTCTTGCGATTGGGAGACCAAAGTGGGGGGGGGGGGGCAGCCTAAGAACACAAGAACCCTGCTGGATCCGTGCGGCTTTCTATTCACACAGTGGACTGTCAGCTACCCATGGGAAGCCACAAAAAGCACCTTGCCCATATTCCCCAGCAACTGGTGTACATAGCCCTACTCCCCTTGCTACTGGTGGTAGCCAGGACTTGTGGGCATTGGTAGTCATCTCCTCCAAGTATTTGTCCATACCCTTTTGCTGGCCAGCACTGCATCTTTTGGGGAAGATTTTCCAGGTGTATTTTATTTATGTACTGAGTATATCCAATGCCTCATAACATAAATGTCTCCAGGCATTTTCAGATTCTGAAGGAAGATGTCTGCAGTGTATCTAAGCTTCAGAACCATGGCCATGGCATCTGGAAAAAAGGACTTTTCCATTTCATCCTCATCCTATACTGTTTGTACACCCTAGCTTGCAGAAGAGTTCTGGAGAACTTGGAAGCTTGCAGAGTTTGTGGAATTTTGTTTGGTTCTAATAAAGGTATTGCCCAACCGGGAATCTTGGATTTCTCTGTCTCTCTCTTACCAGAACAGCAATTTTTATTTTGGTTTTTTTTCTTCTCTGTATCAGATTACCTGTCCAGCAAAAAAATGCTGCTGTCTTTAGATTTTCTGGCCACCCTTAAACCCCAGGCAGGGCTTTTCTGATAAAGGATACAAGTTCAGGGACATCTTTTCTTGCGCAGTATCCTCCACCAATAATAGAATCACCATTTCAGTTTGGTACCAGAACTGAACTGCTTTGCCCAACAAGGGAGAATTTCTCTTGTGCCACACACAGAACTCTGTGTAAACCCCCCACCCCAAAAAGCCAGTGGTGCTGGAAGTGATCTAGCTTGTCCAGAATCCTTGTTGTTGTTGTTGCTCACACAGCAGGCTGAGTCTGTCCAGTAGACTGAAGCGCCATTTGGGCCTTGACAAAAGAATGTCAATAGTTCTTAATGACTTGGAGATGCGGCACTTCCTGGCTGGAAAAGCCAGCTCTCCTGCCTGTGGAATGTGGCACAGACTAGTGCTAGCTGGTGGGAGGAGCAGTGAAGCCTTTAATAGGGCCGTTGTCCCTACAGCTTGGCGGACAGAGAGGTGGAGGTAGGCAGCCAAGCTCGACTGATGCAGCCGGAGACTTTCTTGCAGGATTAGCCCTTCCCTGGCCTCCTGCTACAATCTGTTCCTTCCTGCATGTTCTGCCAGGATATCTGTAAATAAAGGCAGAATTACCGACAGATAATTTGCTCAACTCCAGTATTTTCTCTCACCCGAAAGAAAATGGACTCTGCAGTACGAGTTTTGTACCTCTCAGAGAAAAGGGGAGCACTTAGCAGAAACAGTTAGATACCACTTCTTGGATAAGGATTTTGATTCAACTTGCTTAGCCATGCCTGCGATCAAGGCTAAGCAAGTATAACTGGGGAGGAAAAAATCATGAATTACTTTTGTGCTTACGCACCCATCTCCTCGCCTCCCCTTCCTTTGCTGTTTACGTTCTGTTGAATTTTAAACTGAAAGCTCTTTGGAGCAGGGACCTGATCAATTGTGTTCTGTAAAGCACCAAATATACTTTCCAGCATAATAAAAAGGTGAGCCATGAATGCCCGTCTGTCCCAAAGCTAGCAGGGGCTAAAGGGGGAATTATCAGCTGTTTAAACAAAACCCATTCTAGAATCTGAGATGAAAGCAGATCTACACTGGCCTGTGGATCTAGGCCAAGATTTCAGCAGAGGGTTTTCAGCACTACACAGAGTTTTGCATGGATTTCAGGCAAAGCCCTATGTATAAGCCACCTGTAAAGAAAACTGCAACAAACAAACCCTAGTCAAGTCAGCAAAACCAACCAGGCTACTTGCCCTGCTGGCCAACAGGTAACCCTAGCTCAAGAAGAGGGTCTCTCTGAGCATGTGCAGACTGCCACATTTCAAACATCGCTGCATTGGAGGGATTGAGAGGCTAGAATGTTCACCCCAGATAGCTTTTTCCCACCATGATCTCTAGCCAGCATAGTCAGTAAACATGCTGAGAGAATTATGGGAGTTGTAGTCCAGCATAGCTACTGGAGGGTTTGGGAAAGCTGGGTTAGGACCATGGAGGTGAGGGATCAAGGATGTAAGGAGAGTTGTGGTCCATCTAGTTGGCCTTCTGTCTACTGCAGGATGTGATGGCAACAGCGCCCCCTGCAGCCATTCCAGAGGAAGTGGATTCCATCATTTAGCTATGGATTGCTAGGGTTTCCTCTTATCTGTCCAAAATCAGTCTCTTGCTTCCACTAGTTTTAGGAGGAGGAGGACTGGAGGAAAATCTGATTTCTCCACACCACACATTCTGTACACCTGTCATGTCTCCCGTTACATGCCGTTTTCTGCTCTAAACAAGTCCAGATGTTGCAACCTTTAGCGTTGTTCTAGTCCCTGGATCTTGAGAGTTGCCCTTTTCCCAACATTTTTAGGTTTGGTGTCCAAGAGCACACACAGTATAGTCACACCATAGATTTGAATAAAGGGAGTATGATTTTGGTGCTTTTATTTTAATTCCTTGTCTAAGAATGGCTAACTTGGCTTTATTTATAACTTGGCAAAGTCCTCTCTGGACAGCAGAGTTCACTGTGTGGGCGTCCTTCACTCAGACACTATTGCAGCCTAGCCTACCTCACAGAGTTGTTATGAGGATGAAGGGAAAGGAGTGCAAGACTTGGGGGTGGGGAGGAAAGGGTAATAATCCTAAATAATAGACTGAGCCATATTCTCCCATATACTCTTTCCTGGACCCTGAATTTTCAACATTCTTTTCCCATCAACAGAAATGAGGTTGGTGGCTAATAAGAATTGTAAAATGGGCTTCTTGGAGAGGCCAGGCTGGTACCTACATTGTGCTTTTTGGGTGAAAACCTTATTTCCCCAAGCATTTTTAGGGTGCGATTCAGTGTGGCTGCCCATAACCCTACAAACTCGGGAATTAAGAACGCCCAGCTAAAAGCTGGAGAAGAACGGCTAGGATTCCTCAGCAGTCCCCTTATTCATTAACACTGGTCAGCCCACCTCTCCTAGTGAGAAACTTGAGCTGGAGGCATTGCTGAAAGTCGGTGGAAGATGGAGTGCCTTACTCCTTCGTTTTCCCTCCCACCCCATCAGCCTTCCCAGACATGGTGCCCTCCAGCTGCGCGGGATTACAGCTTCTATCATCCCCTGCCCGCACAGCCAACGGCGGAAGGAGGACTTGGAGCTGCGGCTCGATACGTCTGCAAGGCAGCACTGCAGCGGAAAGGATGAAAGGCAGCTACCCCAGTCTACTGCTTCCGATGCGGAGCGTGCGCAAGGAAGGACAAAACCTCTCGCGCGCGCCTATGGAGCGGTAGGGCCGGCGTCGTCTGCACCGCTCCTCCCCGTCCGAAGTGAAGACAGGTAACCCACAAGCCCGCTTCCCGGTAGAAGCACCTCAACTTTGAGTCACTAACCACATCCCTCTACCTTTAAATGCTTGCCTGGGCGTGTCCACCTTGCATAATAAGTAGCTAGATAAGGGCGGGCCTCCGTGGGTCGCTGCCCAATCGGCTTTGTGTGGGTTGTACCACCAAGAAAGGGGTGGCCGAGATGGCTTTTTCTTCCTGGTGTTGGAGGGGAGCGAGGATTATAGAACGCTCCGGTTCACGTTTTCTCTGTCCCCCCCCCCGTTCGCTTCTGGGTGGGAGTGGCCTCATCTGACATATGGGGGCATGAGTTTGGTTTTTTTCCTGAAGGAGCCAATCAGAAGGGAGAAGGGGAGTGGGAGGGGGCCGGTGGAGGAGAGGGAAAAGTTTGTTTGGGAAAAGTTTTTTTTTTTAATTGTTTAAATATTAAAGCGAGAAAAAAAGGGAGACGGCACGGGAAGGGGTGCTGAGTGCCGCGGGGGGAGACGGGCCCCTTCTTCTTTTCCTGGCCCCATTGTACTTTTTTTTTTTTTTTTTTGCGGGGGGGGTCCACTGGCTTAGGCTCCTTCCAGCTCCTCTTCGCCCCCCAGCGCACACGCGCTAAAGAAGATGGGCGCAGCAAACTGTGAAGATGAAGACTTGGAATTCAAGCTGATTTTCGGGGAAGAAGAAAAGGACCCTTCCGCTATGGGGGTCCCTCTGGAAGGTGAGAAGGGGTCTGCTCTTTGCAGAGGGACTCCTGTCTTGGCGGCGGGGGGCGGGCTGCGTTAAGGTATATTGTGGCAATAAAGGGGGGGTAATTTGGGGGGGTATGCAGCTGGGGAGTGGTTTCCTCCCCCCATTTTCAAAAGGTGGCTTTGGTACGCGTATGTGCTCGAAATCCCGAGCTCACGCCGATCGTTAACAATATTTGCAAGCCTTTGAAAGGGGTGGGGGTGGCGTTTCCTCCCATGCTGGTCAGGGTAAACGCGCGTGTGAACGCGTGAACGGGAGCCCGGATTGGACTCAAGTTGCATGTGCATCCTATTTACACACAGAGAAAGTTTGCCAGTTTCTGAATTGCACAGAACTTCGTGTTGAGTTCCCCTGACCAATATGCTTGATTACCTTCCTGCAGAAGTATTTTTAAACTTTTGATGAACTGGTACTATTACATGGAGGCTATAAGTGGAAGCTGCGTGTTGGGAAGTTTTGGATTTAAATTGCAGCTTTGCCATGAACCGCTGGAGGGTCCCTTTAAGGCAATCCATGATTTCCTAGCCTCTGCTGTATTGTGTTTAACGGTTGCCTACCCTATAGGGTTGTTGTAAAGTACCTTTCATTTATAGCAGGGCCAAAGAGACTTCACTCCCCACCTCACCCATTACCACCTCCCCCGCAATAAAAACCCCTCTGGTTTAAGGGAAGATGGAGAATATAGCTGTATGTTAGGGGTGGGATGTCTGGTCACAGATAATATGAAATGCCTAAGGGGAAGGACATTACATTATTGTAAATTCAGTTTTTGCAAAACTCTCAAGTGGCTTGCCTCTTGGCAATTTACTCAAATCAAAAATAACACATGTTAAAATCGTTTTCAGAGCATGGCTAGGTAAAGCTAGGCTGAACTCCAATACAACTAGATATTTGTTTCTATGCAGGGTCCACATTTCACAACTATTGGTATGTTCCTAGGGACTAGCACCAAAACTGTGATTGATTCCCCCCCCCCTTTTCTTTCTGATCTTCATCAGGAGTCAGAGAATTGTTGCATTTCCAAAGCATTTCCCTTTCTTCTTAAAATGTCTCAATCCCATCCCATGAGGACAAACTTGCTGACATCCTTTTTTCTCTGTTCCAAAGCCAAACTGAACCCATCTCACCCTTCTCATTCTCACTACTGAAAAGTCACTCCTGAAGAACTTACAGAGGTTGTTGTTTTGGTGGGTTTTTTGTTTTTTGTTTTGTTTTGTTGCTGCAGCAGACAAAACGGCGTTGCTCTACTTTGAATAAATTTATTGGGATGTGAGCATTGGTTGGCCAAAACCCACCCTCTCGGATGCTTGAAGTGGTCACGTCAGAAGAAGAACTGAAAACTCAAAATATCACATTTGGAAATCCAGGCTTTGAATCCCAAAATGGAAAAATGTGGGTTGCGTGACATGGATTTCCACAGGCATCCTTGAAAAATGAGAATGGGGAGGGGGGGGAGAGTATTTCCCCTTTCTCTCTTTCTCTTTCTTTTTGGTTTCCAACCAAGTTTGGAATCCAAGCCCCCCACCCCCACCCCTCCGCCACCCTCCTCAGGATTTGCTGTGGGAACATTCCTGGTCCTATAGCCCCTTTGGGGGGGGGGTTGGCGGGGCTTTGTCCGAATGCAAACTGGTGGCCCCCAGACTCCACACCCGGGCTGAGGGCATTGCTAGGAGGAAGCTGCCAGCCCCAGAGGCGGAGGTAGGAAACTGGGTTTTTTTCCAGCAAGAAAGGTCAAACCGTCTCTGGGCAGGCGGCGTCTGGTTCCAATGAAATCCAGATGGGGACTGCGAGGGCTTCGGGATCCCACAGAATTCAGCCCCTCCAGACTGGCCGCAGTCCAGGGCCTTCAAGTCCTGGGTGGAGGGGAGCTGGGGGTGGCGTGTGTGTGAGGGAAATGGCAGCAAGTCGGGAGAGGGGGGCCATGCCCGCCTCCCCGCATACGGATCCAACTAGCCGCCTGCAAGAGTGCAATTTTCCTTTTTCGTCTTTTGGCCAGGGGCCCGTTTCCTCAGCAACAGGGGTCCCTGCCAGGAGAGCCTGGGGCTTTGGGAAATGGCCCTTTAATTGGGTTCAGATGGCAGCCCCTCCCTGACAGGCGCCCCCCCCCCCTGCATTCCCCCACTGCCGCAGCCCCCAAATCCTGGGTTTGTCTCTGGCCTGCAAAGCAGGGTGGAGGCCTAGGTAGGATTGGGCCAAGCTCAGGGGAAGTTTTCTAAGCCCCTTTTTCCTTGCCGAAGCTTCCAAAATTATTTGTCTCAATGGCGAGGGGAACTTTAGTCCTGCCTCCCCCCTCAGCCATGCTGCTCCCTGCACTTTGATGGAAAGCATGAAACCCATGCCCCCATTGGGGCCTCCGGCTCCCATCAGCGGTGCTAACACAGCTGAGGAATTGCGGTTCAGTGACATCTGGAGTGCTGTGCACAGGGACAGAGATCCGTTTAGTCCTAGCATCCTGTTTCCAACAGTGGTCAGCCTGCCTCTGTGGGAAGGTCTCTCAGTGCAAGGACACAGATGCGGCAGCTTGCCGGGTTTGTCCTGAGCACACCTGGTATTCCAAGGTAGACTGTCTCTTAACAAGGAGGTTCCAGTGAGTGAGTTACAAAGTGGGGTCAGAATGGGATGCAGGATGCAATTTCCTGTTGCTGCACCTGATGCAGGTTTGTGGACTCTGGTCCATGTGGTATCTCCAGGGCCTTGCGCAGAGGTCCAGTCCCAGCTTCCCAGTTCCCCTTATGCTGGCTCTTAAACTGGACACTCTGCCTAGCCAGGGTGGGTTTGTGACTGGGCATCACTGCAGCTGTGCCTTGCTGCTGATTCAGCTTGCCCAACAAACAGACCAGAATAACCTGACTCTGGAGTGCAGGGTTAAAACATGGACAAGGGAATGGGCCTTTTTAGTGGAACATTCGCTCCAGAGAGACCTGCCTGGTGCCAGTACTGTATAATAGGCAAGGTCAAGACCTTCCTCTATTCCCTGGTTATCTGGGCTTGTTATGCATCAACTGTTTCAGTTATTGTTTGTCTAATGTTTCAGTTTTCTTATCATGTGTTAGTATTTTAATGCTTTTTAGCTGTTTTATATTTTGTATGCTTTCAATAACTTTTTGGTGAGATGCCTGGAGCCCTTTAAAAGAGAAATGTCTAATAATAATAATAATAATAATAATAATAATAATTGTTGCTGCTGGTGGGGTAATTCAGAACAAAATTGTTTCCCCAAGTAGAGCTGGCAAGTTCATCAAGAAAAAAATGGGTTGCGTGGCTAGAAACATAGCTTGGTTTGAGATGTCCTTATTTTATTTATTTCACAACCATCTTATCTTCCCTGTTCCCTGAAGCTGCTTCGGGCTGCTCAGAAAGCCCTCCCCACTCCCATTATTTTTGGGGAAAAGCTTTTGACTGAGAAAGAGGGAGACTTGCTCAAAACCAGTGCATGAGCTTGGTGGCTGAGCAGGGATTTGAATCCAAACCTTCCTGGTCTTAGTCCATGCTGGGCATCGGGAGAGAGACAGTCCATCACATCTGAAAGGCACCACGGTCTCTAGCAATCACGACCAAAATCTAAACACCAGTTGCTTGTTGGCCTAGTGGCTAAGGAGCAGAATCAAAACCCCAGAAGCCTTGGATGCAAATGTTGCCTCAGGTACACAATCAGTAAGCAGCTGCTGTTTCTCAGTACTTCTAGCTGTAATATGGGCATAAGACGATCAACCTATTTTCTTTCCTGCCTGCTACCTCCCTTCATTCTTCTTCCGCCAGCATTGGCAATTCCCTGTCATTCCCTCCCACACAAGCACATGCATATGAAGCTTTGTGAATGCCATACATTTTCCCTGCCAGTGCCTTAGACGAGCGCAGGAAATATAGTCGCTTTGTGGAACGGGAGTTTGGGAAAGCAACTGTGCAGCAGCACCTGGCTGGATGGTGAACTGAGATGTGGAGAGTTGGTAGGTGTTTGGCTGCCGTTCTCTGGTGGACGAACGAGTACCAGGGGTGGAGGGTGCAGAGAAATTTCTAAAATAAGAAATAGGTCTTGGGGGGGCAGTGGGGGGTGGTGTAGATCAATTTTTTTTTTCTCCCCTCGCTCATCCCTTTAACATGTTGATCCAAATGTTTATTCTAGGGAAATGTATTTCTGTTTGACTTTTTGGGGATATTCTGTGGGTGTTTTTTTTTTTTTAACTATTGATACCCATTGGACAGGGCTCGGTCCCTAACTTTGTTACAAGGAAAGAAAAAGCAGTGAGCAGAAAGTTCGATCTTTAATGTTCTTTCAGTGTAATAATAATTAAAAAATCTCCTTCACTCGTCTCTGTTTGGGTTGTTGGCATCGATTGCTGGTGCAATTGGTGGATCAGCTCACACTTTTGGAATCACGGATTCAGCAATGTTAGCTGTGCAGACGGGAAGGAAGCACAAGAGTCTCCCTGGCCCCTGCGTCTGGCATCTCTTCCGAGCCACCTGCCAGCTCACGGCTTGCTCATTGTGCCTCTGTGTGCGTGCCAAAGGCAAGAGTGCGCTACCCCTTTGCAGCCTATACGGAGGCAAGCAGGACAAGGCTATGGCATGCCTGCTCAAAAGTAACAAAAATGGAATCATTCAGCCTCACTTGCAAATAGTATTCCAAATACCAAGCCTCAGTGTGGTTACTCACAAGTAAGCAAGTTGTTATTAATTTTATTTATTTATTTATTTATTTAGAATTTTTGTATGCCGTCCCATCGCGTAGCCTTGGGATAGCTTACATAAAATAAATAAACACAATACAGATAATACAAATAAAATCCAGATTCACCCTGGCTGCAAATTAAAACCTATAGATGATATTAGGAGTTATTAAAATATTGTTTAAATAAAAAGGCCTTAGCCTGGTGCTGAAAAACAAATAACGACGGCGCCAGGCGGACCTCTCTGGGGAGCGCATTCCACAGATGGGGCACCACCGCAGAGAAAGCCCTCCTCCGGGTACTTACCCTCCTAATGTCTTTCCTGGAGGGTTCCTGGAGGAGGGCTTCTGCTGCTGATCTCAGGGGGCGGGAGGGAAATATGGAAGAAATCTACATGTAATATCTACATTTCTATACTGCCCAGGATATAGAGACAATAAAATACAGTAGATAAAACAATGCTGTAAACATTTTAAAATGCATTAAAATACAATGAAAAGACCTGGCAAGAAGGAAGGAAAAAAGCAGCTGGATAAACTCATCAGGCCCCTGGATGAAAAGGGGGATCTTTAAAGGCCTCCACAAACAGGGCTGTCTTAACCTGGTGCAGAAGAGGTGGCAAATTTGGCACTGGATGGACCACAAGAGGGAGGCTGTTCCAAAAGTTAAGGCTTAGAAGTAAGCAGAATTGAATGACTTGGGAGCGTCTTTCCTACAGGGAAAATTTCTCCGATCAGCTGCTGATCTGTGATGGAACTTCAGACATGGGGTGAATCGGGAGGTTATATCGGGAAGTAGAGTGGAGTTTCCCCATCACAGCATGCAGTGCTCATTTCAAACATAAACCATAAATTTTCTGGTTAATATTTCTGGTGACTCTGAAGAGAGAACACACTAACTAAACACACAGTGCATTAAAAACTGCACATACACCACAACGTAAGCAGGTTTTTACACTTCCCTTTTTAGTGTCAACCTATTCCAGAAACAACCATTTGAAATAACCTTGAAATTAGCGTATACAGCAGCTTTAATCTTCATAGATATTGCTACTTATGCTAATTAATAAAAGCATTCTGAAATGAAGAAAATAACTTTTTAAACATGAATTTCTAAGAGCTAGATTTGGTAAGGTTTCTATAAACTTGAATGGTTCACTGAAGACTTTTTCTCTTCAGCTTTTATATTGAAATAGTAGGATCAGCCTTTAAAAAATGTGTGTGGGAGATCTAAAATAAATGCGAAGTAACTAACAGCAGCTATTGCAAAATAAAAATCAGTTTTAAAGGCAATTGTTAGAAGATGAAATCAGATCAATTCAGTCCATTCAGTACCATGCCAAGCCCTATAAAGAATTAAGAATGCTGTCCTACCTCACAGGGTTGTAAGTCTTCAAAGATAAGATACGTGCCTTTGTTTGAACATTTCTATGTGCTACAAAAATGCTTTTTAATAAGGATTCAATTATTAAATACCAGCAATATACCAAGGATTCTCAATAGCAAGAATATTGTTCAGATTGAAAATACAGTAAGTACATAAATAGTAAAAATAGTTTGTTGTGGGACAATTCATAATATGCATGAACTGCTGCTGAATTCATTGCTATAAGATGTGGATGCAAGAAGAGATGACTTCAAAAAGAAAAAAGGCCCAATTTCAAGCTCTGTGGGCAGCGACTGGCCAAATTTGCAAAGGATGGAGCTGCCATGTTCATGAGCACTGTACCTGATCAATTGCCAGGTGCTGGCAGCCATGCCCAGCTGCATTTGCTCCTTGCAGTACGCCTTTCTTAGGCAATTCATGCGGCACCCAGTCCCGCCTGCTGAGTCTCACTTTCTGTTTGTGTCTCCATTGCAGATCTGGGTGCGGACAACCTCCCTGTCTATTGTTCGCCTACTCTGGGGGACCCTCCTCCGTATGCCTCTCCCCTGGGCATCCCATGTCCTCTGCATCTCAGTGGCGGCCGTGCTGGCATGCATTCCCCCCCTCCCCGTCCGGCCGACTTGGATGGTGACACTTTTGAGAGCCAGCCGGCTCGGCGCGTGCGTCTTGGCGGTTCCCGGGTGCTGGAGTGTCCGAGCATCCAGATCACGACGATCTCCCCGGGCCAAAGGGGCGAAGAGGACGACTGGGACTCCTCGCCTCGGGACTATCTCCTCCTGGAGGCCTTCGGGGGCTACCGCGAGGCCCCCCCATCCTCGGGCTTCTTCACACCGAGCCCGGCCAGCAGTGGCAGTGTTTCTCCATGGAGCTTTTTTTCCGATGACGAGGCCCCCACCGGGGATGATGTGGAGCATGAGCTCAACGAGGCGGCAGCCCGTTTCGCCCTCAGTTCCCCCTTAGGTTCTCCAAGGGGCTCTCCCAAGCCGTGGTCGCTTGCTGATGAGGCCTGGCCAGCTTATGGGGCCGGCTACTCCCCAAGCCGGGGAACCGAGGATGGCTGGATGCTGCTGGGTCCCCGGCCGGCCTCTCCTTGTGGCAAGCGCCGCTATTCCAGCTCCGAGACACATTCCTCTGCGTCTCCCTGTCTGTCCCGGAGAGGCAGCCTTGGCGAGGAGGCCCCGGGCGAGTCTGCAGAAGCCAGTGGCGATGGGGCCCTTTTCAACTGTACTGGAGCCCGGCTGGTGGAAAGCATCCCGCAGAAAGCCCGGAAGACATCAACGGAGCAGACCGTGGCCCTTAGCCGGAAGGAGGACGGGAGCTGTAATGGGGAAGATGGAGGAAGCAGCACCGCAGGGGCCTTTGGGCTTGGTGCGGCCCGTAAAGAAGGGATGGATTACCTCGCCGTGCCTTCTCCATTGGCCTGGTCGAAGGCTCGCATTGGAGGCCATAGCCCTGTATTCAGGTAAGCCAAGACGTCACGCATCTTCAGCAGCGCAGGCAGTTTCCCCCCATTATTTCTCAATAATGTAAGAATTTGGACCAACAGAATTGTCTCTCAAGGGAAACTGTCCAAGACTGGTCCGCCATGTGCCTCGAGGAGATGCCAAAGCAAGGCATGGTGGCGACATCTTCTTGTCTCCAAAACCTGCAAGGTAGAAGCTGACAGCTCCTTGAGCATGGAATTCAGGATTAATATATCTGTATTTCCTCCTTCAGTCGTAACTTTTTGGTCCAGCTAACATGCAGCAAACATGTTAGTAAGCTAGATATTGGGTATCTCAGCTAGTGCTCATGATTAGGGTTCCCTTCCATAAATTACTGCTAGATTGAGCAATAGAAGAACCAAGCCATGTGGTCAACCCAAAAGTTCTGCTTTCTTTTTTTAAATTTACAGAGGGTGTGTCAGGGATTTAAAATGCACAAAGATCACACACAGTTTTTCTTGTAAACATCTTGAAAGTGGCATGGGAAGGTATATTCAAGGGCACCAGTACAAGATCTTCTAAAAGAGTCTTTCAGTGACTCTGACATTTGTTTAGTACGCAATGGCAGGGTGAAAAAAAATGGTATCCAGGCCTCCTCTTTCTATAACTTTGATAAGTTTCCCTCCATCCACTTTGTAGCTGGGGACCAAGAAAGATGAAGTAATTTAGGGAGAGGGAACTTAAAGTTGGACCAAATCTGGCCTTCCAAGTTTCTCCAGGTGGCCATGTCCCTTTCCCAGCCACCATGTTTTGGTGGCTTCCTGGCCTGGATGTAGTTTATTCCCATTCTAAGCATGAAAGTCCTAACAGTCTGCATTTGTCCATGACTCATTGGGTCCCACTCCAGCATAAGCCAGTTTAATTTATGTCATGCATTTATTTATTTATTTCATCTGCCTGCATGGTGCCTTCCAAAACATGTTGCATTCAGGAGTTTGCCATCCTAAATCTTACATGGGGAGATGAAAGAGGAAGGGGGAGAAAAATAGGTGCAGGGGTTAACTAAGGAAGAATATGCATCCACTGCAGTGTGGGTGTGGAGTTTAAAGGAGTGACTTATCCTGCATGAAAAAGTGAAGATGGGAAGTGAGCTTACTCACTTGGAACCAATGTCGAGTTTCCATAGGTGACTAGGAGAGAGCTTAGCTACAAGTCATGTCGTGAGTGGTGGGCCTGTCGTGAGCAGAGCCGGCTGGAGCCGGGGGTCAGACTAGATGGCCCAGGAGACCCCTTCTGACTTGCTCTGTTTCTATGTTTCTAAGTCTAGCCTGACATAGCATTTCTTAAGAATGAGAGTAGTGGAATAGATAATCTGGAGGTGCCAAATCCAGCATCAAGGGCCTTCAGAATGGGAGTTCTGCATGTTGAAACAGAGAGCCTGGCAAAACTTCCAGGACATCATCTGCAAAGCAGTGAGCAGAAGTGTGTGTTTTGGCTGTGTGCCCTGCTGTCCAAGACTGTCTTACTGTACCAAGGAGGACGCAAATTACTCGCTGCAGCCAGGGGAACAAGAGGAGGTGCCATTGCTACCACTTTGGGGTGGGATGGGCCATGACCACCTCTGCACATGCTTTGCAGAAAAAGGTCCCAGTGCAGCCTTCTCAATTCTCCATTAAAAAGGGAACAAGGGACTGTAGGGGACCATCTTAGAAACATCTAGACCCCATCTTTCCTCCAGGGAAAGGGTATCCTCTATTCCCCCAGCTGGTATACTGGCTCCTTCTCTGCCTCCTCTCTGTTATTCTCACAACCACAACCCTGTGAGATAGGCTAGGCCAAGGGTCAGCAGCATCAAGGGAGCTCGCCTTGTGGCTGAGAGGTGGCTAGAACCTGGGTCTCCAAAACCACATCTTGCTAACCACACCAGTCTGGCGGAAGACCTTGGACTGCTGTGGCCAAGTGAAAAAGACCATACTGGGCACCATGGACCAACTCTGGTCTAATGCATCTTGCAGTCAGTTTGTCTTCCTCACATTGCCCTGATCTCCATCCAAAGGCCTCAACCCAGATGTGTCCTCCGAGCTCGCTCGTTCTCGGTGGGGCAGTGGTGGAAGGCCTGGAGAAGCCCCAGAACCTGCGTCCTTCCATCCCCACCCAGCCGGTCTCAATTTGCCAGCTGCGCTCGCAGCTCTTTGCTCTGCCTGCCAGAGATTCTGCTGTATAAAAACAACTTGTCAAGCCAGCCCAGGCAGAAGGGCTGGTGTCTCCAGTTACACACCCCAGACCCCGGCTCTGCGTGCTCGCTGTGGGGCTGGGGCGGAGCCTAGCATAAACACGCCATGGCTCGTTGCCTGTTAAGGTAAGCAACTGGACCAAAAGAATTTTCTCTTGCACAGTGGATCATCCTCATGACCTCCAAGTTGTGTGTGTGGGGGGGGGTCTTTCCCCCAGCCCGGCCTGTAATTCTAAAAATCCATTTCTTCCAGTTAGATGGCTGTATCCTTTCAAGATAAGTTGATCAGAACAGTGAGTTATTCCCTGATAGCAGCCCCGTTAGAGCAAAAATAACAGTAAGCTTTGCATCTCTCCGTTCACGAGGGAGCGCTCTTTATTCGAGGATGGTCCTGTAACAGCAGTGTCAGCCATTAAGATGAGCTTTGCAAGATTTGAGCTGCTGAACTGGCTCAGCTCTTGCAAAGCTCAGCTCTTTGGCAACTTGGTCCTAGTGGGAGATCGTCACGGGAGAAACTTTGCAGGATCAAAAACTTTTCTAACACTCTGGTCCTCTGTGTGTGAATTGAAAACTTGCAGGCCCCCCCACCCCACTTCTTTTTAACATGCAGAAGTTGATGGCATCTTCTAGTGATGCTTGGAATTCTTCATACAGCTCTCGGCATGCCCATCTCACCACAGAAAGCTTTGAACTGGAAAACTGCAGAAAAAGGCAACCCAAACAATCAAGGAGGTCTAAGACAGGAGTGTTGAGCTTCTGTCACCTTGATGAAACGTTTGGTAGCAATTTCTGCAAAGCAAACGAGCTGCATCCCAGTGGTGGGCAAAGCCCAGGGCAAAGGGGGTGGAGCCAAAGAGGCAAGGGCGGGGCTAACCTCCTTTAGCTTAGAGGGCTTACCGCCTGCCATTGAACCCTAGTAGAGGCACTTCAGCCTTCTAGAATGGGGGAAGCAGCCATGCCAAACTCAGAAAATCACCAAATGTTTGGTGGTCAGAGGAAAGGAGACACGATCATCCAAGCCTGCAGTCTGAGGTTCTCTGCCTGTAGCTAAATATTAAACAGGCTGCAGGGCGAGATCTTTAGAGGAGTGGGTTCGTAAAATTATCCTGTGTGGAGGAAGACAATTATGAGAGGGTTTTCTTCTCCCTCTGCGGTATCGCTGGAACTGGAGTCCACCCAAAAAGTGGATAGGTTGAACTGGAGTCCACCCAGAAAGTGGATTGGTTGTGCATGCAAAAGCGCCTCTTCACAACAGCGCATTCAGTGATGTTGTTTGGCGCTTCAGGAGGAATGGGGCGCTCGTTGGGAATGCTTTGAAAGGGGCATGTGCTCTTTTGTGCAGGATGGCTCACGTAGGGTAATAGAATACAGCCTCTTGTTTAGAGGGGATATGGCTCTGAATACCATCCACCTGGGGACAAATGCTCCTGGAGGGAAATCTCCTGGGTGGACTTCTTGGCTGCCCCATGGCACAGGATGATGGGCTAGGTTAAGCTGGCCGGATTCAGCACACCTCTTCTTGCATCCTGAATTCGGATGTCTGAAGCACAGGTGTGTTTCCTGAAGGACTGGCTGTATCCTTCAGAGGGGCCATACGGGGAAGCCCATTTGAAGCAGGATGAGCATTCAGCTGTTGGACTGGGACACAGGAGACCCGGGTTCTAGCCCCCACATGGCCATAATGCTCTCCGGCCAAGCCCCCAGCCACTCGGGGCCAGGCACTGGTTCTCAGCCTAACCTACCTTCCAGGGTTGTTGTGAAGGTAAAATCACAAGGAGGGGGGTTAAATGATAATACATTAATATTTATTTATATATTTATTTTATTAAACGCTTTTCTATCCTGTCCCCTACAAATGTCTCAGGTTTATGTAATCCACAGTGCATTTGCTTTCCTTGCAAATAACCAAATGTGACGAACTAATGCTAATCTACCTGGACTGCTTTGCAAACACGTCTCTGTCTTGGTCCTGTCTTCAGGTCTTCGGCTTTGCCTCCTCTGGACTGGCCGCTCCCCAGTCAGTACGAACAGTTTGAGCTGAAGATCGAGGTGCAACCCCGAACTCACCACCGGGCGCATTATGAGACCGAGGGCAGCAGGGGTGCCGTGAAGGCTGCTCCCGGCGGACATCCTATGGTGAAGGTACCTGAGGGGTGCAGGTGGAGGGATAGTGGGAACAAGAAGGGCAACGAGGGCGGGCTGAGCCATCCTCACCCCAGCTATGCACTTGGGCATGAATGTTTTCGCTTAGCTGGGGACCCGCAGGTCTTACAGCTCCCATCAGCCTGAGCCAGCATGGCTGAAAGTCAGGGATAGTGGGAGTTGAAGCCCAGCAGTCCCTGGGATGCCATGTGCTTTCCGCTCCTGTTCAGACCAAACCATCTTATTTTATTCTGCCTTCCTTCACCCCACCATCAGCAGTTATTTGCTTTTTAGTGTGTTCCTATGATTTCCTTTTTTTCTTTTTAATTAATCCCCCGTGTGCCGAAAACCAGCAGAGCAGGGAAAATGGACCGGAATAGCACTTCCCAGCTTGGTGTGCTGTGTTTTATTTTTTCTTTGCTTCTCGTTAAACCAGGCTTGGTGTGGGGAGAACATGAGAGAGTGAGCAGAAGACAGTTTGGCCACCCCAAAATGCTATATAAATGCTAAGCATTTCCCAAATCCGGTTTGTGTGCTCTCTCCCCCTGCCCCCAACTCTCTTTTTGGTGTACACCTAAAAGTGTAGGGTGTAGATCAGACAAAGTTATCCTGGAAAATCAGCCCTATGATATACTGATATTCCTCTGAACGCCAGAATTGGTTGCATTCCCCTGTCAGGAAAATACTCAATTTCCAGACTTAGGTGTGTAACATATGGGCAGAGCCTCACTCTCGTTAGAATGTGGAGCTTCACTTTGGTGGCACCTCCATGGGGTCTCGAAAGAGGAACACTTAATGCAGTATATCATGGTTTAGCCTTGAGCATGGGTCAAGAGTACCTCTGAGCATGGGTAGAGTGTCTCCCTGGTGTCTGCAAAATCACAGCTTCCATTCCATATTTGGAACTGGGCAATAAAGCTTTTGAGCTCAGGGGGTTTTTAGCCAGAAGCAGGAGAACTGAAAATCTAGGCAGAAGTCATCACTGTTTTTCATAAGTCTGATTAATTTAGATTCCTGACTGTTCTTTATTTTGTAATATTATTCATTTTTAAATCCTCCTCCGCACCAGACAAAAGCCACCTTCATGGGACTTTTTGTCAATGTGTTTTGTTTTTACTTAATGCCATTTTCCTCCAGATTAATCCAGAAGAGAAAGGGAAGCAGCTTTTCCCCCCCTTTTGGAGGGCTGGTTTGAAAACATTTGTCCAGAAATGTAAAAGATGAAAAGTATTCCCACTTCAAAGACTTACTGCATGCAGCAACAGCAAAAAAGCAAATGTCAAGGATGGTTTTTGTTTCTTGTTTTGTGTTTTGTTTTTTACAAATTGTGAAATGGACGCCCACTCAATTTAAGCTAAATAAGAAGAAAGGTTAACTTTTTTTAAAGCAGGAGTAAGTTTCCTATCTGTTCTTGGCCAGCTTGCTATTATAGTAAGAGGAAAGAACAAAGGCGTGTGGGTTGTGGGGGTGAAGTCCCAGCAAAGCTCTGATGAAACTCCTCCGGGACTTTATTCCAGCTCCAAATGTGCTCCACTCTCTGCATGTGGGACCTTCCACCAGCCCAAGGTCCACAAAATCCTCTTAGCTCCCCGCACAAATGCCACCCCTCCCATACGTTAGTTCTGCGTATCTCCCAATCTTCCTCTCCCTGCTGCATTCCCCTGTAACCGGGATCTTGGACATGGCCTTTCCCACGCTCTTAGTCCCGAATCACAGCGCTGGTCTCCTCCTGCATCCCTCTCTCTGCGTCACTCTTTGTGAATGGCGTGGAAAGCGAGTTGCAGGCAGGGGAGGGCGGGATGAAGCACCCGGGAAATACCCCCTGCACGCTTTTCTAGAGATTTCTACTCATGCCTTTACTCACAGGATGTGTCCATCTGACTGTTTTTCCTTTAGCCGCATCCCCTCCAGCTTAATCTGGCGATTTCCCCCTCCTTTCTTATTTTCCTCATCCCTGCCTCAAATTTGGCAGCACTGCCTGGGCAGTGAGACTGCTTCCCTTATTCCCCACTTCCCTGGAATGTTCCATCTTCCATGACATGAAGTGGTGGTGGAAGGAGGGCTGCAGAGAGGTTTAAAAAAAAAAAAAAGAGGCAGTGTTTCCTTGAAGGCTCAAATCGATTGCAGCTGTAAGTCTTGGATTCTGATGAAAAACATCTGGGCAGCCCCTGAGGCAAGACCACCAAACTGTCAATGTCTCCGGCTGCCGTGACGAGTGCCAAAGATGGCGACTGGTAAAGGGGCAGCGGCGGAGAAGTTGGGGAACAAATGATACATTAGAAGTGCCCTTTCCCCAAACGGAGATCCAGCTTCCAAGGTTGTAATTGTGGGGCTTAATTTAAACCAGGGATTAGCCCTGGAACCTATTTTTAAATTAAGAGAGTTTGGCCTCCCGCAGAATTGAAAGCTGAGGATGTATTGGTGTATTCCTATCAGTTGCCGTGGGGTTTTTGCAAACCGCCCCACAGCTGAGCCCTTTCCCTCGTCTGTTAGCGTTTATGAACATCCAGTGACATCACAGCTGTAAAGTCTCAGGCAGACGGTTTTCCTTGCTCCGCAGGCTGAGAACCTTTCGAAGCAGTGACGGCCACAAATTGAATCTGGGATTTTTTAATATGCAGATTTCTGTTCCTGTTTGTAACAAAATGGACTGGAGCACTTTCTTCCTACATGCAGAACAACTGCCATGAAACAATGTTGCAGAATACCCAAAGCAATGGGTGGAATGGGAAAATTCAGCCACAGGACAGCAGATTTCAAAATGTGTTGGCTGGGAATGGTTGTTGGATCTCAGTGGGGGGTGCCCAGGAAATGTTTGCCATATGACAATGGCAGATTTTTAAAAAATATGTATTGCAATGATTTTGCCACATTTCAGATGAATAAAATAAATCACTCTGTGGTTGCAGTGGATAAACGGATTAAAAAATGCAAGGGACTGGAAGCTTATGACTATCCTTTCTTTTCCCACTCTAGCTTTTAGGGTATGATGAAAAGCCCCTTACCTTACAAATGTTCATTGGCACAGCAGATGAGCGGAACCTGCGCCCCCACGCTTTCTACCAGGTGCACCGTATCACCGGCAAGATGGTGGCCACCACAAGCTATGAATCCATCATCAGCGGCACGAAGGTTCTTGAGATGTCCCTGCTTCCCGAGAACAACATGGCTGCCAAGTGAGTCACTTCTGAGGAGCTAAAGGGCTGTGAGAACCCATCAGCAGAAGCCCGTGAAAGACCCTGTGATGTTACATGGCAAGAAACCTCAGGGGCCTGGTGGCCAGTCCCATTTCTCTGAATGGAGCTTGCTTGCTTGCTTGCTTGCTTGCTTGCTTGCTTGCTTGCTTGCTTGCTTGCTTGCTTTATTTATTTATTTATTGCATTTCTATCCCTCCAAATAATTGAAGTTTTCTGGGCTGCTCATAGCAGTTAAAGCCACTCGTTACAGCAGAATCAGACCCCATCTGCATGAGGCATTCAATGTGTGTTCATGATGGGAGTTTGCAGGTGTTGTTCATGCTCCAAGGTCTTTCCTGTTTTTTGCAACTATGATACTACTGCTGGTTGTTTATTTCTAACAAGGAAGGTCTAATATTTCCATGAATAAAAGCATGGAAGCCTGCCATGTAGGTGCAGTAGGACTATACCACATACCTCTGGTAGTTGTGTAATGAAACATCGAGAAAGGAAAATGCCAGGAAAAGGTTGCAGAAGAAGCCCATCTTAATTCTAGAAGGAATCTAGAATCAAAAACCTAGTTAAAATAGCACGTCGAACGCCTAATTTAGAAAAGCCATAAAAGACGACATAAAACTTCTACAAGTTTGAAACTGCAGCGTAAAACTCAAGCAAAGACCACCAGCTGTGTAAAACCAACGACCTCTGCATGATACTTTTGCTTTCAAATATGTGTCTGTCTCCTTGCATCGCTCCATTTTTAGATGAAGCTGGGATCCTGTGGTCTATGGGTGAGCAGCCCAAATTTTGTACAGATCATCTGAGGGCAGAGGGGTAGATCCGCACTTGGAATCCATTTCTCCCAGCGACTTCTGAAACCTTAATTGCCATTTTCCCCTTCCGCATTTGAAAGAAGCAGGGAAAGAAATGTGCCATGAGGGATTTAAGCAAAACAGAAGAGAAATAGCCAGGAAAGTGGAGGAAACTGCCCTCCCCCCCGAAACTTTTTGCTCCCTGCCAGCCTGAGACCAAAAGGTTTTGGCTTCACCAACTTGAAGGGCTTCTAAGTCCATTCTAAGAGGACAGAGATCTGAGCGATGCACTGCCAGAGAAAAATAGCTATGCCTTGGTTAGAGTTTCATCCCAGGCTGCTCCCAGAGTGTCATCTTACTTCATTATTCCTCATTAGGGGACCTTTTGGATTTAAACAGGAATGGAATATGTTTTAAGAACTAGCATTTCAAATTTGCCTAGTGTGCCACAATTCTCAATGTGATTTCGGTTCAGGAGATCTTGCTGCTGTTCTAAAGCATCAGCGCTGAACACCTTTCAGGGTGAGGGTTGAATTTCATTTCAGAGATGCTCTTGGTGGTTGGATTCTGGTGGCAATATGAAAGGCCAAGAGGAAGGGGCCAAAATGCCAACTGCTGTTCATTAAGCTTGAGAGAAACATTTCAGCCTTTCAGGATGAGGAAAAAGCTGCCCAAACCCAGAGCCGCCTTTCCACTAAAGGATCAGCAATGACCAGAAAAGCAGAGGAAGGGGTCTTGGCTGTTTGCAGGCCCCTGGGTGTGTTGGGCTTTAGCGCATTGGCCTGAAGTTCACTACCATGTTCTAAAGTCAGCTACAGAGGTCCATAAAGTAAAGCAGTGACGGTGTTGTTGGATCTGCACTTGGGCTTCTTTTAAACAGGTGTGCAGACTGAACTGAGCTTGGACACAATAAATGCAGCTGTTTTCTGGAGAAGGAGCCTGGTTTGTGGAGTGGACAGTTCCACACCCAGCTCCCTTGCTGAACGGCTGGTTCTTTCAGCTGGCTTTGCAACCAACCTTTGATGCTCCTCACTGGCAAGGCAGTGAGGGTAGGTTTTGGGGGGCTTCTGTGGTGATAGGAAAGGCACTTCTGCCAGCCAGAGCGATGCTTCCAGGTTTTGAAGAGAAATGATGGATTTAACTTTTTAAAAATGCAAACCAACTGTGGGACTGACAGGCATGGCAAAAGCACCTAAAGCCCGGAGAAAAATGGTGACTGTCAGATCAGAGCCAAAACATGGACCCACGAGTAGGAGAAGGATAAGTGACAAATTCACTCCACTGCTGGAAAACCCTCACCTGCTCTTGGAGGGAAGGTGCATCTGTCTTGACCTCAAGAATCCCATTCAAAATGCTTCCTCTTGTCTTTTCTCTGCTCAATCCCTTTTCTCACACTAGCATCGACTGTGCGGGCATCTTGAAGCTGCGGAACTCGGACATCGAGCTGCGCAAGGGCGAAACGGACATTGGCCGCAAGAACACCCGGGTGCGCCTGGTCTTCCGCGTCCACATTCCCCAGGGAAACGGCAAAGTGGTCTCCATCCAGACAGCTTCCGTGCCCATTGAATGCTGTGAGTGCCCATCGGGGATGTCAGGGGGCATAAGCGAGGGAGGCCTGCCTCCTAAACCCTCCCAGATTCAAAGATGAGTAGGAGTGAAGCATAAATGACTTCCAGGGGAGCCAATCTGCTCCCTTTTCTTTCCCAAGCACGCTCTCTGTCAACTTGATTCAATTTATTGGTGACAAAGCTGAGAAAGGGAACTTGGCTAAGTCTGTTTCATGGACACTTGCTGCTTGGGCAGGCCCATTCATTACCCACAAAATGGGGGTCTTTTGGCCACTGTTTTGGAGGGGGGAGTGGACACAAGCAAATCTTGTTGAGGTCTTTAAAATACAAGGGAGTCGAGAGTTCCTTCTTTGTCCTACCAAGAAAAGAAGAAAATGTTTTGCCCACTGATAGAAAAGGTGGCTGGGCTGTCGCAAGCAACTCAGCCACCATCATGGGACCTAAGATCTTTCCTAAGCAGGGGTATTTGTGGTGGAGGCTTATGTAGAGGTGGAGATTGGGGTTCTCCTCTTTCTTAGAATGCTCCCCTTCCAAACAGTGGATTCATCTCACGAGGACATTTCAATCCTCCCAGTCCTCTGAAACTGGCAAAATCCCTGGGCTCAATGCTAATACGCATCTAAAAGGAAAAGAGGATCATAGAATTGTAGAGTCGGAAGGTGCCAGAGGGCCATCAGGTCCAGCCCCCTGCTCCCTGCAGAGCACCAAGTTAAACCATCCCTCTCAGGTGGCTGTCCAGTTGCACTTCTAGGGCCTCTGGTATGGGAGAGCCCCCCACCTCCCTAGGGGATTGGTTTCAGTGACATACTGCTCCAACAGTCAGGAATTTTTTCCTGATATTCAGCTGAAATCTGGCTTCCTGTAATTTGAGCCCATCATTCTGTGTCCTGCACCCTAGGATGATCAAGAAGAGATCTTGACCTTCCTCTTTGTGAGAGCCTTTCAAGTCCTTGTGGAGTGTAAACATATTTCCCTTCAGTCTTCTCTTCTGGAGGCTAAACATGCCCAGTTCTTTCCACCACTCACCAGAGGGCTTTGTTTCCAGTCCCTGGATCATCCTTGTTGCTCTCCTCTGAGAGATGAGGAGAGAGAGAGCTCTCCATATAGGTCCTCTTGGAATCAATGCCCAAACATTGTAAAATGTGCCTTAAATTCCCATTGATTGCAATGGGAACTGTGCTGTGTTGCTTATCCGGGTTGTATCCTCCATTACATATACCTGGGATTTGTTTCTGGAGATAACAGGGGCTAAAGGCTTGCACCAAAGGCATCATGGGAAGAGTGGGCTGTGAAGGAAGGGCAACAACAAGGAGCCTTTCGTACAGTCCATAACGAGGCACACCATAACCTCAACTTCCCCTTCAGAGCACCCTTAATATAACAGTGCCCTGTCCCTGCTCCGGAACATGAGAGAGAGTGTGGTGCAGTGGTTAAGGGTGCAGGTCTGGGACTCAGGCATCTTGGGTTCTAGTTCCCACTTGGCCATGGAGCCAACTGGGTGACCTTGGGGCCACTCAGAGCCCAACCTACCTCTCAGGGTTGTTGTTGTGGGGATATGATTGAGAGCAGCAGGAGGAGAATGATGCAAGTCGTTTTGAGTCCTTTCAGGAAAGAAAAAGGTGGCATATAAATCAATCAATCAATCAAATAAATAAATAAATGGCCAAGTCAGGGTGGCCTCTGTCCTGATTGTTTTCTCCTGCTCCTCGCTTGCAGCCCAGCGCTCGGCTCAAGAGCTCCCCCAGGTAGAAAACTACAGCCTCAGCGCATGCTCGGTGCATGGTGGTGAGGAGCTGGTGATCCATGGTGCCAACTTCCTGCCTGAATCCAAGGTTGTCTTCATCGAACGAGGTCCTGGTAAGCAGCACAGCTCGGCACAGACCTTTGCAAGCTTGCCTTGCCTTGCCTTGCCTTGCAGGCTGCCAGATTAACTCTTGACTGCAATCACTAACGATGGAGCCTGCATGTTCAGGAGCAGTCTGCAGGGTGCTGGGGACAAAAAGCAGGCTATGGCTCTCCCCAGCAAGCCCAGCTTGGAGGCTTACTGAAGCAGACTGGGCCAGGTGAGTCTTTGGCTTGATGCAGTGAGTCTTGCTGGCATCCCTCATTCTAGTAAAACTGGTTAATGCTTTGCCCAGGTCTCGTCCCCTTTGCCGCTGCTAAACCTCAAGTCCTCCAGGCAAATTTGACCGCACCCTGCTCTAAATCTGGCCCTTCGGTGTTTCCTGGACAGCCTTACTGCCGTTCCCTGGCGCCATCATTTTTATTTTCACTGCCAACTTGTTGGTAGTTTCCAAGATTTTGCACATATTCCCCCTGTTCTACAAACTTGAAATCCCTCTCCTAAGGGATTTAAGTTAAAATATTCTGGGACTAAAGGTAAGATCTGGCTTTTCCTTTGGCCCTGCTAACCGCTGGAATCCATGGTCCCATATCTGCCCCCTCTGAGCTTCTCCAAAGTCTATTTGTCTCGTGGTCCAAAAAAGGTTCCACAGGTCTACCCTCCAGTGATCCAGGTGCTTATCATTTTCAGATGGAAAACTCCAATGGGAAGAGGAGGCAAATATTAATCGCTTGAAAAGCACGGAGGTGAGAATTTTGGAAGGGGAACTTTCCATGAACATGAGAAGCAGGCAGGGGACTGTGTCTTGGATGTTCCATATTCAGAACAGGGCTAGGAGGTCTTTCGTGAATAGGGGACAAGGAATGCCTTTTATAGGGGACAAGGGGGAGGTGGTTAATCAGATGTGGACTGAATCATTTGAGGGATCACCCCCACCTGAATGAATCTTTCCTGTGGGAGGCCAGCTGGTGAATGCTCAGTACAAAGACCAGTATGTTATTCTTCTTACTGCTATTAACTGGGACAGGTATGTTACATTAAATGCAGGCTTAATGAAGACTTCAAAGAATTCAGGGCAAAAATACAGTTCTTGTTCTATTTCTTTACTTATGAGTCCCCGTTTTGCTAATACATTTAAAGTGATTGCTGTGTTTAAAAATAAGACAACGATGACACCTTTGCAGTGTAATAGACTTGATTCGGGAGGGACCAAGAGGAAAGTGGAAAATAATCAAGTTCAGGTTGTTGTAGTTCTGGTGAGGAATGACTTCCATTGCAGTCTCGTCTCTCATGCAGCCAGAATTGAAAAGCCTTTGGTGGAGACTGGTAAAACTAAAGTGTGGTAAAACTAAAGTGTGGTCATCCTTATTCCAGCCCACAAACAGGCCTTACTGCCTCACCTGTCCTTTTTGGAAGCAGTTCTGACAGGGAAGACATACCCAGAGTTGGATGGGGAGCTTGTGTGCAACAGAGAGAGGAAAAAAAAGGGGTTTCCATTATGGAGTACAGGGTAACTTGGATAGGATTCAGGAAACTTCGTCATGCAGCAGCTGTCTCAGCGGGTCGGGGCAAGAGTATCCGGCCAATAATGGATGGAGGGTGATGGTTTGGAAACCGAAGGGTGTTGGAGCTACAGTGCCTCTTTCCTTGCTTCTGCAGGCCTCACTGACCCTCACAGTTCCTGAATATAGCAACAAGCGAGTGTCCCGGCCTGTTCAGATCTACTTTTACGTTTCCAATGGACGCAGGAAAAGGAGCCCCGCGCAGGCCTTCAAATACTTGCCTGGTATATTCATGTGGAAATAGGAGAGGGAGGACTTTTTCTGGGGGGAAGCTGCTGAGATATTGCTGATTTCTCCCCATTTCCTTGCTTCTGCAGTGATCTTCAAGGAGGAGCCGCTTCCAGAGGCCCAGCACCGTAGCTTCCCACACATCTCACAAAATACTCATTTCCCATCGCAGTCAGTCCAGAGCAGCATGGATTTCTCCCCTTCTGGGCCGGCCTACCCATATGGCCCAGAGCACTCTCCGCCCTGTTCCCCCTATGGCCCTGACTGGAACCCTTGCTCCTTCCCCAGCCTGCCACCCCACTACAGCCCAGCCTTCCGCTTCCCTGGCAATGAGGCCTACCGGGGTGTTAACCTTTCAGTCCCCCTCCTTGCTCCAGCTGGACTCCCTCGCCTCCACACTTTAGACTGCCGTCCACCTCTCTTCCAGCCTCCCAGTCAACAGCTTGGCCCACAACCACCAGGGCGGGGAGAAGCCCACGGTGGAGAAAGGACTCCAGAATGGACGGGCCCGGAGCTGGTGTCCGAGGAGCACAGCCCCAAGGAGCTGGAAAAATCGGGGTTCAGCAGTGGCTTCCGGGATAACTTGCCCATCCATGGGATCACGCTGGAGGAAGGTAAGGCAAGAAATGTGCTGTCGAACCAAACCAATGCCCAAGGGTCAGGATCTAGGCTGCTTCGGGGCTCCATCTGGTGGCCAGAACTGGCATGGCCACTGTAGCACTTCTGGGATTGGTCCCAGGCCTTCCAGAGCCCTTGGCCTCCTGATGAGCACCAGCTGGGAGCCGTGGGGAAAGAGGCTCTTCCCTCTGCTGGCAGCCCCAGCAATGCAGATCTTCCTGCTAGCTGTGGTGAGGTCCAGCGTGTTCCCCTTGGCTGATCTGGTCCCGTCCTACTTTCCTGCAACCTGCTAGCCTCTCTGTGGCTCAGTTCTGCATCTTGTCTCACCCTTGCTGCATCCAGATCTGGGTTTGCCTTGCCTTGCCATAATGTGCCTTGCTACCTAGCTTTGCCTGCCACCCCTTTGGTGCTCCTGAATCCTGACTAGTTATTCTCCCTCAAAGTACCTGCTCAAGGTACCTGTTGTCTTCCTGGTTCTTGGCCTTCAGCTTGTTCATGATGATGTCTTTGGATTACTCTTCTACAAGCTCATGGTTCCTGACTTTGGCCTGTCCCTTGACCATGATCCTGCCTCTGACTTAACTACCAGACTCCAGGCAGCAGTTGGGCTTTTCCCTGCCTTAAGTTCTGTTATCCTGGTCCCAGTTCCTCTGCTCTGATTCCTCCCGTCCACACCCTGATCCTGACCCCAAGAGCCTTATTTGAGCATGGGATTTCAGTTGCTTGCTTTCGAAGCAGCAATACAGTATTTGCACAATTATTTCTTAGTAAAGCCAGCCGGTAACTGTTAGTACTGGCTACTGGTTAGTACTGTATTTACTAACCATAACCCTAACCCAACCAAAGCCATAAAAATACCTGTATAATGGTAAAACATCAAAGGCTAAAGTAACAAAGATGCAGCTTTACCTTTTCAGAGTCAGGAGAGTGGGCACTAACCACATCATCCTGATTAAGTTGGGAGAGGGTACTCCAGTATGTAGTCTTGGGACTGGATTTATACCTGTTCAGAAACTCCTGGTTGCCAGTTGCTCTTTGGGCTGAGTTCGAGGTGTTTGAAGTCCCAAGCAGCTTAGGACTCGGCCACCTAAGGGACAGACTGTTCTTGAGAGAGCACATTCTGACCCTGGAGAATGCACTTTTGTGCATGCTGACCCAAGAGCCTTCCGTGGGCACCCTCTGCACATCTTGGTCAGGTTCATAAAAGAACAGGTGTTGGCAGCCATGTCCTGAGCCATTTAAGGCTTCAGAGGTTAAAGCCAATGCCTGGAACTGAGCTCTGAAAGCAGCTGGTATTTAGTTGTTTGCTCTAGCACTGCCTGGCCATGTCTCCCTAGGTTTTCAGGCAAGAGTTTTCCCCAGCCTCACCTGGAGATTCCAGGACCTCTTGTGCTCAGAACAGGTGTTCTGCCCCTGTGCTATGGCTCCTCCCTTTAAATGCAGCTTGCTCCTGCCCCACAGAAGAGTCCCCATCTCCCTTGCACTTCCCTTCGACAGCCAACACCCCAGCAGGGAAGGGGGCTCCCTCTGCCTCTCTCTCCAGTGCCTGAAGGTGTAAGTTCAGCACATCCTCATCAGCCATCGCCTGCTTGGGCAGAGGCGAAGACATGAGACTAGTTTGCTTAAAGATCCCAGTGAGCTTAGGTGCCCAGCTCAACTCTAGCACGATGCGTTTTCTTTCATGCTTTATTTGTCTCCTCCCTGGTGGCCTAATCTCTCCTGCACAGTAACCGAGATCATCGGCAGGGACTTGAGTGACTTCCCCGAACCTTCCTGCGAAGCGGGGCAGAGCTGAGAAACTGCAGCATCCCTGGACACTCACATCTTTTAGAGGAATGGCTTGGAGGAGGAGGATGACGACCCGGAAAAAGTTGGTGACCACAGAGACTTCCCCAAGGGACAGTTCTTGGGGGATTCTCATATTTATACTTTTGCCTCTGAGCTTCCTTCCAGTCCTTCCACAAGTTCTGTCTCACCTTCCTTTCATTCTGCTGGTGCTACAACAATCCTGAATATGCCATGGTGGATTCTCCTCTTGCTTCGTCTTTTTGTCTCTGGGCACCATCCCAGCCCGCTCAGCTGCTATCTCAGTGGTCACTCCACAGCATCAGAGGTGCAGAGGACTTTTGGATTACATGTCTGGCTAGCACGATCCCTGAGAGACTGAGTCTCTCTGTCTTTAATCCCCCTTTAAACCGACCTGCAACAGCTTTGCCAGTCTGGTTGGCTCCCGGCATTTTCTCCAACGATGCAGGCTGAGGGTTGAGCACATCAGCAAAACTCAAGCTCACCAAAGTCCTCCAAAGTCCACCTAGAAACTCATTCCGACGCCAGTTTTTACCAGATTGTGAGCATTGTTTTATCATTTCCACGTGGAAACTGACACATCCGCATCGGGGGTGCACATCTTTGGAATCTGTGCATCTTCTCCCATTGATTAATGCACATTACTGTACATGGTTCAGAAGTATACACATTTTTCAAATGTATGCATGCTTTCAGACATATTTTGGGGGGCTCTTCAAACCTGCCTTTCCACTGGGTTACTCCATTCCATGCAGATGGCCAAGTAAGCCTTTCCATGTGCCAAATTGTTGTACTTATGTATTTTTCTATTTTTTTAATTATTCCGCCCATCCTTCCTTTTCATTTTCACCACCACCACACCTGCCATCCTATCATCCATGGTGTCTGTCCGTCAAATCACCTCCCACCTCATCTTGGACTTTTTCTGTAACAGAAAAGGGTCCTGATTCTCTATTGGGCTGATGGTTGCTCCCAGTAGTAGTGTAAGGAATGTGACTTAAAGTGAGTTTCAAACCATGTTCCTGAGAAGGTCCCTTAGGAGAACTATCTATAATGGCCAGCAAGTTTCCTGAAAGACAGAATGCCCACAATCTTTCCCTGTCACCTGGAGTTGCAGGGAAACTAGACTGTCTGGTAGACTGTAGCTTGCGCAATGCATTGACATTGGAGAATGCTGAGCACAGATGGACAACTGTCCAAGTGTCCATCCAAGCCTATTTCTATTTGTTCCCCAAACCAAGTCTCTCCCTCCTGTTTTCATTTGGGTTTTCTAGGAAATTCCACAGAAATCTGGCCTTCCTTCCATCCCTCCTTCCTTCCCACATTTTATTAAAGCACCTTAATGGTGGCCTAACATAATTTAAAATAAAATAATAAAATAAAAAACTTGGAAGGGTGCTCGGGGGGCTGAATTTTTCTTCTTTTTTGGAAACTGGAGTGTGGAACATGGCATTGTCCAGAGCCCCCAGAGGGCAAACAGACCGATGGCAGCTGACTCCACTGGGGAAGTAAAGTTGGGGGCTCCACATTGTGCTTCCTGGATTCTTCGGCGGCTAGTTTCTGCAAAAGAAGAATTCAGAGATGAAATTAAACTCTCAGACCACCTCCTGGGGGGACCCAATGGGAATATGGATTCCAAAGCAGACCTCGATGTGATCTGTACCAGGATTGTGGCTGAGCTGAGTCTGCTTTGGAGTTTGGATTCTCTGCATTCCTCTCTAATTCCATATGGTAAATGTGCCCCACATTTATGGAGTATATACACCAGACCGTGTCACAACATCTTCAGCTTGCACGCAGACATTCCTTGGCTGGCGCCCTGGGATTCTGTGTGAAAATGGTTCCCTTGATCTTACTCAGTTTTAACACCTCTAGATCCTTGCCATTATCTGTGCCAGTGTTCTTTTTCCCCTTTATGGATATGCTTCCAAGCAGCAAATCAAGGAAATTATGTTTCACATGTGGGAAACATGTTGTATCTCCATGCAATTGAAGTCATGAGATTATTGCTGGTGGTAAGGAGAGATGCTAGTTCTCATGAACATTCTCTTTAAGAGAGTTAGAGCCTAAAGACATGTTATTTTAAAAAGATAGCTAACAGTTACATCTTTAAAAAAAAACTCAGTCTGGATTAGGACCCTCGTTAGGAATATTCCCCTGACCCCAAACACCCAATTCCTCAACCGACTTGAGTGATCAATACTTGCTAAGCTCATTGCCTAAAAGTGGCATTTATATAAATATACTAGATCATTTTTGGCAATGGAATTGACAGGCACAAGGGCCCAATCCAGATTCGGGATACATGGGAGGGTGGGGTGGAAGGGTTAAGGTCCTGACTATACTAAAACCCCGCTTCCACCACATGCTAACTTTCCCATCTACACTGGGTCCTTTAAATTTACTCCTGGGCAAGAAAATTGGCATAGCCACCTTTTATAATGTAACATGCAGTCTGACTGTAAGAAGTAGCTTTCTATGCATGGTATAAACCTCAACAGGAAGGAGACGAAACTTTGTTCTCCCCCCACTCACCCCACTTTGCACTGAAAAGAAGAACAGCTAATAGATGATGATTAGTAAACTGTTAAGTACCTAAAGCAAATGGATGAGGAAGACAGTGCTAAGCTTGAGGCAGTGCAAATCTGTCTTTTCCCTTGGGAAACCAAGAGGGAGCTGTTCTTTTGGTTGTAGCTGTCTCCACCATTGACTTCTCTAAAAGATGTCACCAGGGTTCTAGTCCTCAAACCTGTGAAGATAGGCTTGAAAATATATAGCTGCCTCCCGATGAAATCTTGACAAGCACAAATAGTTTGGAATAGGATCTGCTGCAGCTGCCACCAGAAAAGGGGAGGCATAACAAACACCCAATTTATTCCTTCCTCCATTACTTGTATAAAATCGAATACATTGTGTAAAATTAGCACAAGGCCTGAAATGTTCTTCGTAAGGTTAATTTATACAAGTTTCCAAAATTGACTTTTCTAGGTGCACAATTTGGATCATGTCTTCATGTGGTATTTGTTACTTACTAGTTTGTACTGCCAAATCCAAGCCAGTGAAAACTGTATATGGGGTTAACGACGTGGGAGTTACAACTCCTGTATTAAAAGCCATCTCTCTAAAAATTGGACACCTATGGGCAGTGTCTAACAGGGCACTTCCACCTCTGCTAATTTCTTTTCTGCCCTGCCAGCTGCCTTCCACAAGCAATGGGCCCTGTCAATTGCATGGCACAGGCTGGGGACCCAATGATTACACAGGGGAAATTTAGTGTTTCTTAGCAGATACCCCAAAACAAGTAGAAATGCTTGTTTCTCGAAAAAGGCAGCATAGCTTCTGCTTCTCTGCCTCCTCCTAGAAATCAACGCTTCCACTTGTTTTGGGCTGCCCTGTTAAGCACAGGTGGGACCCCGTTTGCACAACCCAGGTAGTGGGGTGGAAAAGAAAGGGCAGGGGTGAAAACACCCTGTTGGATCATGCCTGTGTGAGCCTGGTCAAGATGGGAAAGTACTAAGACAAGAACAAGATGTTCTGCCATAAATAGGAGGGTGCTTTAAAGTTTGGAGGGGTTTCTTGGTGGGCGGGTTACATAGAAAGCTGAGTCCACCTCCCACCCCCGGTGAGCGGACACTCAGGGATAGAGACGTGGTAAAGGCAATCATGCTTTAATGCTTTCTTGATGGAAGGAGTGGCTGGTGTTTTTATATTTTTGATACACATGGGGGGAGGAGGTGATGGGAATGTTCTTTTGTAATTAAATGCCTAAAAGACGTAAAGGAAATAACAGTTCTTGCGCAACCACGTGTCTTTGTGCCTTTTGGGTTGGGAGGCTTCTTAAATAAAGGGAAGTTCTAGCAAGCAGAAAATGTGGAAGTTATAGCAGATTTGTCTTTTTCTGTTCGTGACGTTCCAGCATGAGCGTTACCAGAAGCACTTCCCTCAAGGGGCTGTGGAATCCCGATTGATGCCGGTGGGAGGCTGTACGAAGCGGGGGGATCATGAAAGAGCATCTGGTGGCTGGAGCTGTTGCATGGGCTGCGCCAAGGTTGCTCTGGCTCTGCTGGCCAAGCCAAAAATTGTAGCTGCCCGCCCCACCCACGACAGCCAATGCCTCAAGGTGCTAAATGCACCCCTTGCTCAACATCCATGCTGCTTTGGTTCCTCGCCCACACAGATGCCAAGTAAGTCCTGGCCTTTTCCCCAGGCTGGGAGCACCATCAAGGCTGGCCAACTGCCACACATGCCCAAGCGTTGCGTTGTGGTGAGCAAAGTTGTCAAAGTCTGTTGTCCCTGCCTGCCTCTCTAATTCAGCGGCCACCCTTTTCTTTGCTGCTCACTTCCTAAGTCTCGCTTGCATCACACTTTTCCACTCATCTGGCCTGGCACTGCTGGTTGAGCAGCTGCAGCGACACAGAATGTTCAGAAACATTCTACGAGCAAAACAGGGAAAGAACTGGCAGTAGATGCCCATCAAACTCTTCTGTGTGTTGTGATGCCGTGGTGAATGTATAGCTCGGGGTTCAAATCCTTGCAAAGTTCGGTGAGTGACTCCTGGCCACTCTTGGCCAGCCTTGCAGGGTTGTTGTGAGGATCAAAAAAGGGGAACCCTGAATATATTACAAGGATGGGGTAACAATGGGGATTCAGAGAGGTGATACTTACCCGAAAGAGACACACCTGAAACAAGCATTTGGAAATGAAAGCTATCATAGCACTTGATGGGCCAGCTTTCCCTCACCCTTTTGGACTACAGCTTCCATCATTCCCAGACAGCATTGCTGAGGGATGGGAGTTGCAATTCAACATTATCTGGAGGGTGCTAAATTCATTTATTAATGCTCTATGGTTTGAGATTCTAGACAGTCTTCTGCTTGCTTACAGCAAGGGTTATGCTGTTACCTTGTGGGTGACACGGGACATCAGCTGGACAGGCTCCTAGCAGGGAAAATGAGCCCTCTGCACATGCTCAGAGTCACAATCTTTGTCACCCATGTTGCAGGACTGAGCTCTGGCTTTTCTTCTAGCCACACATTCCATCTCAGACTCCTCCATTCTCTCAAGCTAGCTAGCTCAGACCCCATCAACCTCCTATACTTGAAGTTGGAATTTTTTGCTAGAATGTCCATTGCTTTGTACTTGCTCACACTGAACTGCATTTATAATTTTGCAGCCCATTTCCCAGCTTGGAGAGATTCCTTTGGAGCTCCTCACAGTCTCTTTTGGTTTTAACCCCCCTAAATGACTTGGTGTCACTGGCAAACTTGGCCACTTCACTGCTTACTCCTAATCCCAGATCATTTATGAAAAGGTTGAAAAGCTTTGGTCCTAATACAGAATGCTGTGAGACTCACTGGCCACACTTCTTCAGGAGGAGAAATGGCCATTTATTCCTACTCTTGGCATTCTGTTCTTTAACCAATTACTGATCTATAAGAAGATCAGCATCATAACCACCATCATTTTATTCCATGACTGCTAGGTTTGCTCAGGAACCTTTGGTGAGGGACTTTGTTGAAAGACGTTTGGAAGCCTCATATGGCTTTACAGGGAAAGCTGTATGAGGCGAGCCTGAGGGAACTGGGTCTTTTCAGCCTGGAGAAGAGGAGACTCCGAGGGGATCTGTTGACATATAGGTACATGAGGGTGTTCATGAGGTGGATAGAGACCTGTTTTCCCTGCAGAGGAGGACAGGACCCGTTCCAATGGAGCAAAGCTCAGGGAACCAAAGTTTAGTTTGGATGCCAGGAAGTACTTCCTGACAGTTAGGACCTCTAGGGTATGGAATGGGCTTCCACAGGAGGTGGTTGAGGCCCCCTCGGTGAGGGTGTTCAAGGATAGGCTCGTCACGCACATGGTGGGCATGTCATGAGCAGAGCCGGCTGGAGCCGGGGGTCAGACTAGATGGCCCAGGAAACTCCTTTTGATTTGCTCTATTTCTAGGTTTCTAGGTCCATGTCTGCTGTCCCATGCATTTGTCCCTGCTTCTGTCTGGAACTCTTCAAAGCACGAGTAGGGAAGGACTCCTAGAATAACTGACATAGAGCAGCTCAGCATAGACCTGGAGCAAGGGAAGGTGCCACATGTCAGCCTATTCCAGGGGTCTATCCATAATTCTTTCCCAGGAACAGCAGGTGAGACTTGCTATTTGGCTCCAGTCCCCAATAAAATCTAACTGCTTTGCTTGTTGCTTCAGAATCCTCTTATGAAAGCACGGTTGTCCTTTGACAACACGAGTGTGCTGGCTTGTTGTGATGATCGAAACTGGAGTCCAACTTGGAGGGCACCACTCCACGCCATCTGAGAACGTCACTCCAGCAGAAAGTGTTTCCACCTTCTTGTCCCACCAAGATGAATTAGCAAACGAAGTCAAATAAACCCTCCTGTTATTGCCAAGGGCAAGGGGAACCACACTTAATATCGTCTCCTATTAAGGCTGGAGCATTCTGCTTGTGAAGCTGGTGCTCTACAGGTGAGCCAAGATTCCCCCCTCAGTGCACGCACACTGTACGGCTTGGCAGGATCTTCCTGCAAGGGCCAGGATGGGAGGAAATGAACAGAGAAGAAAAGAGATTGTGAAAGAGAAGGCCCAGGGGAGGAGGGAAGCTCTGGGCTGGTCCGATGCTGACGCAGCTGGAGGAGGAAGTGAAGCAGAAAGCAGCGATCAAAAATGTCCTCCAAGATCCGGGACTGAGAGCGGAGCTCTCCGGCTGCAAGGGAGACGGCGAGGAGAAGGAGGTATGGCCATGTGGAGGGAAATCCGAGCTTAGGGAAAATGTAAGGGTGGGTAGCAAAAGGAGGAAATGGACCTCCGCACCTCATCTATGCTTGCAGCCCCACATCTTGGGGGAAGAGACCTATTTGCTCTGCTTCGAGGCACTGATTCCTGGGTCCTGGGGTCATAACAGTAGTTTGCCAGGTGCTTCCATCAAGCTGCTGAGAAGGTCTGGACTGCAGCAGACCAGCCATAGAAGCAGGGCCATCTTAACAGCATTATGGGCCCCGGGCAAAGCAGTGTACTGGGGCCCCTACGACAACTACATCTACTGGTAATTTTGGAAGTTTTCCAATCTTCCAAGGGTTAACATACACAGATTAGTATGGGGCCCACAGGCAAGCGCCCATCAGGCCCATGTGTTAAGACAGCGCTGCATAGAAGGCCAACAAACTCTCCCAGTGTGGCAGGAAATAAGTTCACTGTGCCTTCTTTTGCCCTTTGCCCCAAAATGGCATCTGTACTTCCCTCTGACCTGCTTGTCAAAGCTTGGGATGGTTGGCCTCCTGCCAAGGGCCCACAACCTGGCCTGGACCTGCTGATGAGCCCCCTGGAGGTGCCGTCTCCTCCCCTGTTCCAACCTGCCCATTGGTCTGCCTCTGGCTTTGGCCCAGACAACAGTGGAGAGAAGCAGAAGCACGTGACCCCATCTTCTTGCTTCCTGCCTTTCTGACCCTCATGCAATAAAGCAGTCGGAGGAGGAAGAAAGCAGCAAGAACAGCTGTTGATGGAGGAGCTCCACTCATTGGAGTTGAGTGAGGAGCTCCATTCTCCAACCATTGGAGGTGGCCCATTGAGGTTCTCCTGCCCAAGAAGCTTCACACCGGGGCTGTCACACAGCAGGTGGGGCAGAAGAAGATAGACTTGTCGAAGTTGCATGGTGCGATCTGGAAGTATATCATGGTTCTTCCCTGACTTTAATTCCAATCACCCTGCCAGCAAAGCCCGTGGAAGAGACTCCATCTAGAACCCATCAAGAGAGTTGGAAGGAGTCATTTAAGACATCAAACTCCTGCTCTACTCCTGATCTCATTTAAAGTATCTTAGACATTCCTGAACCCACTGGGTGACTAAGACAGCTAGAAAGAGGAGGGGCAAGAGAGGGGGTGCATGAGAATTTCATTCAGTTCCCTTTTTTTCTATACCATGGGCCAAAATTCACACACTTCTCCATAAAACAGGCCAGAAAAAAAATTGAGATGTTACCATGCATTTAAAAAAATCAGTATGGGGAAAAAAATGAAAACTGACGATTCATCCATCAAGGAAGAAGATGTTGGGTGCTCAGTCTGGATTTGAATCCTTTTCTGTTCAGCCGTGTTTGGAGAGTTTTGTTTGGTGTGTTTATCAAAATTCTGGGCAGGAGGTTCTGAGCCTCTTTTAGTACAAGGGCTTCATTCCATGATGGAGAAGGTCTCCTGGGGTTCATCTGAGTGGTGGACTACACTGAAGGGTACGTGGCCAAAATATCAAAACTGCCAGCATAATTTAGATTTAAGCTCTGACTGACAGTAGCAAAGGGCATTTCAACCCTTTAGAATGCTAACACACTCACCCCATGAAATCTAGGAAACCAATGATCAGTCTGGGGTGAAGCCAGAGGAATGAGGCTCAGCATATAGGGTACCTCGAAGGCCTGAATTTGAACTGCCCATGTAGGCTGGTTTTGATCCACCGGCCTGAGGCTCTTGTGCCCATAATTTGGGGAGGAGGGGGGTCAGTCTTTCTTATCAGATGAGAGCAGCTATTCCACTTTTATTAATCTACTTAATTAATTCCATTTCTATGCTGCCCCATAACCCGAAGTTTCACTGGGTGGCTTACAAATGCTAGAACAAAATAAAAACATACATACAAGACAATAAAACAATAATAAAATAGATAAAACAATAAAATAGATAACACCACAAAATACACATATCTGCTTGTGTGCATTTTTGTCAAGGGGTTTTGTTATTGTTGATGATTTTTCTATGAATAAGTTTGTGTAAAAGTATGTGCGTAAAAGAATGGTTCAGAAGTCCATGGAATCTACAGGACTCTGGAAAGGCTGGTCTACTGGGAATCCATGGATCAGATTCTCTGAAGTCTGAACCCATTTGAATTCCTTGTGGATTTCTCCAGCAAACCTAAGCCCAACACTTTTTGGATAAACTGCCCTAGGTAATTTTGGCTGCCTTTTTGGACCCCATTTCTAGCTCTATGATATCATGGATCATGATCTCCGAGCAGGCTTCTTGGTGGAGTAGGCCTTTCCAAGCCTTGCATTTTCCCAGCCTCTGCATACTGCTTGTGCTTATGGGTTCTCCTCCTTGGTACAAAGGCACACACTGCCCTTTTCCTTATTAATTCCCTCCCTTCAAGACAGGCCTTAGCATGCATCTAAACTGAGGTGGGCCTGCTGCTTGCAAATGTCCCTTCATGAAGCATGGCGGCTCCTAACCAGTTTTACGAGGAGATCACGTGTGAGCATGTGAAGGACTTCCAGTTCATCAGCCAAGGGGCCTTCGGGACCATCTTCCGGGCACGGCACCAAGACTGGGGAATCGATGTTGCGGTGAAGATTCTCAACAGGTAGTGTGGGTGCCTGGAGGTGGGACAGGGGAGAAGAGGGGACATGGTGCTGCAATTCTTGGTCATGGGTGAACTGAACTAAGCATGGGCTAAGGAAGCATCCATGGATGCAAATCCTACCTGTTCCCGTGTGCAAAATAGCATCCGCATGAGCTAGGGAAATAACCCAAGCAGATGGGGAATCCTTGCTTCTAAGTCAGCCTGCCTCATGGGCACAGAAAGCTGAGCATCTTCTGGGAGGACTGGGGACCAGAAACATTGGCTTGGGGCAATGGAGTGGAGTATCATGGAACTCTGGGTAGGAGTGCTCTACATGGCAATATTTTGTGGAAGGTCTCCCTTGTCTTACTACAGTTTTAGAGCAGAGATGCAGAATGTCGGTTGATCCAAGAGCTGGATTGTTTCCAGGCCAAGCATGTCAGTAGACAAGGCAAGACGTGGGCTTAGAAAGTGGGGTGGTAGTTTGAGCCAAAAAAGAGAAAGGTGCTGGTTGTGAGGAAGAAAGGCTAAATCAAAGCCAACATGTTGGATGGATGGATTCCAGGAAAATGAACAGAGGAATGGTGTGGAGAGCTAGTTTGGTGTGGTGGTGGGTGTTGGACTGAGGAGGCAGGAGAACTGGGTTCTAGTCCCCTCTTGGTCATGAAACTCCCTGGTCTTTGGGCCAGTCACAGACTCTCAGCCCAACCTACTTCTCCGGGTTGTTGTTATTCTATCTGACTGAGGACAGTCCTTGATTTGAAATGCTGGCAGAGGACGGTCTTATATTTGAAAGGGTATCCAGTCCAAGTATTATTTGAAGATAAAGATTCATGAGAAAGTAGAATGACTAATCAACAGGTAATACCTGGACAGAAAGCTGGGTATGTCACACCAGGTCATGGTCTTCCCCACTATGGTCATAGGTTCATAAAATCAAGCATAGAAGTGTAGAGTTGGAAGGGGCCAAGAAGGCCACCGGGTCCAGCCCCCTGCTCACTGCAGAACTCCAATTTACACCATACCACCGAGATGACTGTCCAGTTTCTTTTTTGAATGTCTCTAGTGTGGGATAGCCATGGCCTCTTTAGGCAGCCAGTTCCAGATAGATTGTACTTCTATTTAAATTACACCTTGCATATAGTCTATATTTGCATCTAAAGATGTGGAATAGCATTTGCAACTGTTAGGCAGATCGGCACCTTATCTTACAGAATTGCATCACCAAAAGTACAAATAAGTGTTGCTGTGTACCCTCCATCCTGAGGTGATGGGTAGGTCACTGGACTCCCTCCTTGTCCTTGTCCTTGTCCTTGTCCTTGTCCTCCTCCTCCTCCTCCTCCTCCTCCTCCTCCTCCTCCTCCTCCTCCTCAGTTCAGGCAGGTTCACAGATCACAAGGCTGACTAGGCTGACAGTCTAAGAATTAGATCATCATCATCATCATCATCATCTGGGGTGTGCTGCTGGGGAAACATTCCAAGTTTTGACCTCAAGGCTTTCCCCTCCATCACCTTTTGCCCTTCCTCTCTCATCATTGGCACTCTCCCCTACCCCACCATCCATCCTGCAGCAATACATCCTTCACCCGAGAAGAGCTCCTGAATGAAGCCCTCGCCATGGACAAGGCACGATTCATTTATGTCCTGCGCCTCTTTGGCCTCTTCATAGACAGTGTGCAAACAGATGTGCCGGTAGCAGGGTTAAGCATTGCTGCACCCAGGATGGGCCTTGTGATGGAGTATATAGAGAATGGCAGTTTATCTTCCCTGATGAACCGGGTCCATTTTGTGCCTTGGCCTCTGCGGTTCCGCATTCTCCACCAGGTGGCGGTGGGGATGAATTTCCTGCACAACCTCAGCCCTCCATTGTTGCACCTGGACCTCAAGCCTAGCAATGTCCTACTGGATGGAGAGCTGCACATCAGGGTAAGTTGCATCATACTTTTTAATTTGAGATTTAATTTGGGGCACATGCCCTCAAGACAGAGATGTATCCTCTGCAAACTCTCAAAATTTATATCTCCAGGGAACCCTTTTGTCTGGTGGCCTGACCATGGCATTCATCTACTAAGGGGTCCTTACTCATTGTAACGTATCGAAGCATGTATTCTAGGACACCTTCCAAGTAGCAATTGCAAGGCTGGCCAAAACTCTTCGACTCCATCAAAGTGTGAATGACCTTTCACATTTTGCATCTGGCCCTACGTTTATTGTACACAGTCTTCTGCCCTCCACTGTTGCTCTTTCGACAAAAGTGGAGACACCTTGGCTCAATGTACAGTGTAGTAAGGTATGGCCAAGAGCAAATGATTTTCTAAAGGTCACCCTGGAAGCTTCATGACATAGTGGAGATTTGATGGGGTCTCGCCCTTCCTAGTGCGACATCCTAACCTATGCACCACACCCAATGCTCTTGTGCATCTAAAACCCTCTCAGATGTTCCAGCACCACTTGATCGCTCCCTGAGCATGGAGGAAGCCTTTCTGAAGAGCAAGGCTTCCAGCATCTTTGAAATGATGCTACAACAGCACAGCATCTTTCAGGGACCTTATGAAGATTTCAGCAAGGCAGCAGCAAGAAATTGATACCTTTTGTGTCACTTCTCTGCCATCTCAATTTATTCTTCCCAAGAAATGCACGTCATGGATGTTTTAACCAAATAGCCACAATGCTGTTTTCTTTCAACACAGTTCGGGGTTGAACATTCAAGATTCCAAATTCATTTGGCCCAACAGTCCCTGAATCAAATTGCAAACATTTTCCAAATAGTTGATAACCTCTTAGAGGACAATGATCTTATTCTTTTATTTCTTTAATCCCAGAATGTCAAGCTATTCTCAGTCTAAATAACACTTGAGGCAGGAAAAGTGTATCTCAGTGTTGGAATGGGACAACCAAAAATTACCCTGTTTTGTTTTATTTTATTTTAGCCTAAAGCCCATTTAATAAGCCTCCAGAGAGGCATTTCAGCCATCTAGAATGTGGACAAGGGGGAAAGATACTAAACCCAGAAAACTTCCAAAGCAGGTAGTCAAAGGGAATGCTTGAAGCAATTCCCCAGATCATTAGATTGGAACTGTGGGTGAGCTTGTTGATTGCTGCATCGACTAGAAGGATGAATCTTTGTAGCTGTTAAATGATGTGAAGAGAAGAAATGTTTGCAGGCTACTCAAGGTGGGCTGGATGCTTCAGTAGCATCCAGTCAAGTGGGCAGAGGGCTTAGGCACGTGTGGTCCATACAAGAACTGGGTTCTTACAGTGGAATCCCTCTTTTTGTCTGCAAAATGTGTGCTTCTTCTAATCACTGCTTACGTTCCATCCCTACCCACTTCAGGTGGCCGATTTTGGGTTATCCAAGTTCAAGCGAGGGAGCTCTCGGCACCCAAGTCAAACCTCTGAGGAAAAAGATGGATATGGTGGGACTCTGGAGTTCATGCCTCCTGAGGCTTTCTCTGATTTGAACTACAAGCCCTCCCCTGGCACTGATGTCTACAGGTGAGCACAGGTTGACTTGCCTCTCTTGTGCTCCAAGTGCTGCACATCCCCAAGCACCATGGAAGAGCAAGAGAACTGCACTGTGGACCTGACACTTTCATGTCTTAATGATGTTCTGCCCTCTTGGTCCATCTTTGGTTACTTGTGTCCACGGTGGTGGGTCATTCATGCCCAGATTGTAGCACTAGAAGCCATTTACTGTGGTACTGTCCTGCTGTGTGGCTCTCTTGCAGGGAAAGCTACAAGTTCATATCTGGCCCAGAGTATGGTCTGAAGGCATGTGAGGCATCCACCATGCTGAAGCTAAGCAGTTTTGGGACTGGCCTGAACTTGGAGGGGAGATCACCTGGGAACCACATGTAGTCACCTTGAGTTCTACAATGGGAGAACCTTCTCCCATTGTGGAACCTTTTCCCATTGTGGAACTCAAGGTTCCACATGCAGTTCCTACGGGTGTCTGTGTGTAAAATAAAGGAATAATGAGTCATATCTGAGCAAGGATTTCCAGACTGTGTCAACCTGTCAGGGCAGGTGAGGTTGAGTCAGGTAGACAAAGTTCAATCATAATTAGCATATCAGGCACAGCAAACTAGGTAAGGGCAGAATTGCTTCTTGTGCAAAAGCTTTAACAGAACCAAGGATAGATCAGAGTGCAGCTTGCTGGCTGGAGTTCTTTCCTTCTGGAGACAAAGGAGGATGTTGTCTCAGCAGCAAGCTAGAGCCAGGTGAACTCTCTTGTAGAACTTAACTTCAGAAATAATCTTTTGTGTGCTTAATTTCATCCCATCTGGAAAAGCACCTGAACCTTTCATCTTCTCCAGAGCAGGGGAGATGATGTTTCTCCTGGGAGTTATTCCTCAGATTTAGAAGATGTTGGCTATTGTCTCCTGGCCAAGAAACTGACTGTCCTGGAAAAGCAGCCTGATCCTCACCTTTATATCACAGTTTATTCCTGTAGCCTGAAAAGGCAGAAACACAACATCTATCACTCACACCCCTCATGAACACTGAGAAAATCCATGGCTCTACTGAAAACACTGTTGTATGGGAAGTGGTTAGATCTTGAAACTAGGCACTCTTCTCTGACTCTAATCCACTTCCTTTTCTCTTTTCTCAGTTATGGGATCCTCATGTGGTCTGTGTTATCTGGCCAGGAACCTTACCCATGTAAGTCTACTCCTTTCCCTGTGCTTTCCTTCCACCAGTCTGAGCTTCCACAGATAACTGGGAACATATTGGACTGTAGAGGCGGTGCTTGTGGGTGGCCTATTAAGACTGAAGCCCCATTTGGAGCTCCAATCTTGGAGAGGTCCTATGGACATCATTTTGTTGTCCATAGGCATCTGCTGAAATAAAGGTCCAGGGCCCTCATCATCTCCTGGACTTGCCAAATTTTTGTCTGATTGTGGGATTCATCATTTGGCTCTCACTTGGGGTTCATACTTAGATTTTGTGGATACCACACTGCTTTAGTGATACTGGGAAAATAAACTGTATTTATTAAATCCATGCCATCTGTGTGTGAAGATTATCAAGGATAACTTGTTCTAGAGTTTTCATTCAGTGTGTCCAGTTCTGGGCACCAAAATTTAAGAAAGATGCAGAAAAAATAGAAAGGTCCAGAGGAGTTCAACAAAGATGATCCACAGATTGGAGACACTGCCCTGTGAGGAGAGACAGAGAGCTGGGCATGTTCAGTCTTGACAAGACTGAGGGGGACATGATATCCCTCTATAAGTACCTGAAAGGTACCTGTCATAAGAGGAAGGTCAAGTTCTCTTCTTGTTGATACCAGAGTGTAGGACATGGAATAATCAACTCAAGTTAAGACAACCTAGGTTTAGACTCAATATCAGGAAAGCTTTCTCACCATCAGAGCAATACGACAGTGGAACCAGCTGTCCAGAATGGTGGTGGCCTCTTTCACACTGGAGACATTCAAAAAGAAACTGGACAGCCATCTGAGCAGGATGGTGTAACATGGTGTCCTGCAACAGGGGTTGGACCTGATGGCCTTCATGGCTGCTTCCAATTCTACTATTCTATGATTGTATGGTTCTGTTAACTGTTCAGTGTCTCCTCAACAGGAATTTTTGGCTGAGAATTTGTTTCATTTGCAAAGGTGCACTGGTGCTAATTTGCACTTGCAAATGAGCAAAAGTGTGCAAATCTACATGTGTACCCATGTAAAAACACAATGAGTCTGAAGTCCACAGTAGCCACATAACTCAAAAAAGGCCTGTCTGCTGCAGAATCTGCAGATCGAATTCATAGAAATATGAACTCATTTGCATCCATTGCAGATTTCTCCAATATCTCTGCACTTTGTGCCCCTGGTTCTCTTAATGGGAAGGTTTCTTTTTTTGAGAGCTTTGTATAATTTGCTGTTCAACCACATTTGTAGAATGGCTTACAGCCTTTTCAAAATGCAAGGAAACCAATTAAAGCCTGACATTTGGAAGGCATGATTACACTGAGTGGAAGCAGTTCAAGTGCAAAAAGCAACCCAAAAGCAAGACATCCAGCCACAATAAAATGGATCAAATCAATCTGGCCACCACCAAAATACCGGCAAATGAAGTGCCAGGCAAGCCTTCTTCAGAAGGTCATTCTGCCATTAGGGAACCACATGGATGCACGAGCTGCCATAACATGGAAAATCACCACTCTACTGGTGTGGATATAGTGTTGGACTCCACTGGAGAAGCAGTGTGTGAATCCCTGTTTGGTTGTGATGCTCAGTGGGTGACCCTTCTGTGCTCTGTTCCAAGATGGGATACAGATGGGAGAGAACAGTGTGGCATTCAGAAAAGTCTCTGATTTCATCAAGGTGAGGATGCAGAATTTCATTTACCCCCACTGCCAAATTCCGCTCTGGATAAGCTCTGGGTGCTTTGTTCCACAGGCAAAAAGAATGGAGCCTGAATACCAAAACCCCACATATTATAGCATAAGGTTCTTGCTGCCAGTAACTAAGTTTTAGGAGCAGGATTTCAAGCTTTTAACATGGGGGCAGGGGGATAAATTTTTTAAAACCTGAGAAGCCAGGAAAGGATCAGTGGTTTAAGGAAAAGGACCACTTTTCCCATATATTCCTACCCACCCAGGGGCAGGAGGTCCTTCTCAAGGAGAGAGAGGGACGGAGAATAAAAGAAGGACCTCCTTGGTGGCTGCCTCTCCTTTATGGAACAGGCTTCCCAGAGAAATTCACCTGGGGCCAACATTGTTCTCATTCCGGCACCAAGCAAAAATATTTCTCCAGGTGTTTTAGCAACTGATTTTGCATTGACTTGCTGTATATTGTTGTCCTGATCACTTGATACAATTTTAATGTCCAATTGTTACATTGTTGTGGTTTTTATTTATTGTTTTAGCATTTATAATATTGCTTGCTTCCCGTAAGCTGCCTAGAGGCTCCTGTTGGATCAGCCGGTAGCATAATAAACGAACAAACAAAAGATGTGGGTAGGCCCAGTGGGAGGAGGCATAACCTTCTGGAGAAGGTTAGAAGGCCACAAATGCCTGCTGGACCTCCAGTTCTGCACCCCTTCATCAAGCAAGAAGTACTCATGGGAATGAATTTGCCCTTAATATGCACTCAGCTGAGAGTCTCTGAAATGCTCTTTTATTACCAATGGAACCATTCCTGCTTAGATGTCCACCCTGGCAACATGAGCTCCCTCTTCAGAAGGCTGATCCCTCAAGGCCAAAGGCCCAGCACAGACGAGCTGGAGAAGATAGACAACGTGTTGAAGCTAGCAGACATGATCAGGCTCATGAAACGGTGCTGGCACAACAACAAAGCCCAAAGGCCATCCTTCCGAGGTAACCGATGTGGCACTTTCCCCACTGTGGGGGGGGGGGGTGCCTGGTCCTTTTGTTAAAATAGCAACTGTGCTCATGTCCGTCTACTACTTTGGCTTTATGGCCATGTTGGGACAACAGAAAGGCAGTGTGGTGGAGGGGTTGAAGTGCTGGACTCGGGGTCGGGATATCTGGGTTCTTAGAGAGCCACCAGGGGTTCCATGGGAGAAGAAAAATGGAGAGACACCAATGCAATCAGTACATGTATAACAAATAGATTAAGAGATGTCAATATGCTATCCTAACTTTTGCAGGAGTAGTGTGGCGGTCAGAAAATGCTTGAGCTTGTTTATTTGAGCAATAGGGTGAGAGGTAGTGTTGTGAAGCGGTTAGAGTGGACCTCTGGACATCCGGATTCTGAGTCTCCATTTGACCATGAAGCTCAGTGGGTGCCTTTGGGTCAGTTCCTGATTCTCAGCCTAAGCTACATCACAAGGTTGTTGTGAGCATAAAATGGAGAGGAGGAGGTGGTCATATCTGTTCTTTGGGCTCCCATTAGAGGAAAGGCAGGACTTAAACAGGCAAGAGAAGAAGGAGGACATGGCCAACCAGAATCCGTATAAAAAACATTCTTTACTGCATCAGTTTGCTTCAGGTCCCACTTGTTTCCTACTAAAGCATGTTTGTGTGCACACAGAGATATTGGTCAAATATTATATTGAAAGAGCTGGGATGCAAATTAGGTCTGCTTACGTCGCTCTCCCCTGGTGGAGGTTTGAGAAAGGCACCTGGTGCTTATCTGGGCTGAACTTACAGTGCTGTTTGATAGTCCTTTGGGCAAACCCCGGTCTGAGGGCTGATTCAGGGCAGTGGACCAAGGAAGAAGTTCTCATGGTCTCCTCACTCCTGTTTTTCGCTTTGTTCAGATTGCAGCCAAGAAACGAAGAGTGTGTATTCCTATCACAAACCGTGGATTATGGCTGCTGTTCGGCAAGTCCAGGACATTCTGGTAAGAGGAAGTGAAGCATCTGACACTTCAGCTGCACTCTCTCAGCCAGCCACTGGGTGGCAGTAGTGCTCAGCTCTCTATTGCTTTCCTTCTCAACCAACATGCTCATTTCCCTTAATATATCACCATCCCCAGCCTAAAACCTTATGGAATGCTGGACCACAGCTCCCATCACCCCCAGCTCGCACATGGTGGCTGAGTAGGATGCAAGTTGCAGGCTGGCATCTCCACATAGTGCAAGTTGCTCAGTCTTGCTGTAAATGCCTTATGGTTTTCAAATGTCCCAATTTTGTCTTTGCCCCTTTTTTTGTTGTCCGTCCTTCCTCCACCTTCTCTAAGGTTGAAAGCCTTACCTGGAAAGGGGGGCAGGTAACAGGCAGTGGAGGGCTGCCTCAAAACCCAGGAGATGGCCCATGAGCTCCGGCAGGAAGTGAACAGGGGAGCCTGGGTACTCCAATGGAAGTGGGGTGGTGTATTCACTCTGGGTTTTAGCCTGAAAGGAGCTACCAGGGTGCTGAAAGCAATCCCCAGAAGAGCCTTGGCACCATGGATAGGCCCTTAAAAGTGCTTGTTCATGGATTGCCTCATGGACTTTGCAGCCAGCAGCTCACACTGGAAAGGGAAGTCCTCATATGCATCCAGTCTTAATGGCCTGGACAGCAAAAACCAATTGCCAGCCCCAGTTCAAAGAAAGGCCTATACCACTGAAGGGGGTAGGCGGATGCCCACTTTGAATTGGGATCACTCTGGGAAAACAGAAGGACTCACTTTTTTGAGTAGCCTGCTTTTGAAGTTCTTGGACCATCTTTAATCCTGTGGAAGGAACCAAAATAGGAGAACACAAATAGACCATCTTCCTTTGAGTGCAATCTGTTAGAGAGTTCTGTGCAGGAGGTAGGCCATGAAGATGCTAGCAGTGGGCAAGCTCAGGGATAAAAGTGGGTTGGCCAACCCCTCTCTCTTTCCACCTCCTGTCTGCTTCCTCTCTCTTTGTCCTTACCCATTCCTTTATCTTTCTCTCTTGCTCTGTACCAGCTCTTTTCCTTCCTTCCTTCCTTCCTTCCTTCCTTCCTTCCTTCCTTCCTTCCTTCCTTCCTTCCTTCCTTCCTCTCTCTATGCTACTTTCTTTTCTCTCTCTCCCCATCTCCCTCCCCACCTACCAAAGCAAAGACGGATGAGTTGCCAGAAGTCTGAATGGATAGCTTGAAAAGGGCTTTTGAAATTAGGTTGGGGGTTGTATATCATGCAGCTGAACTTCCTTTTTCATACCAGATACCTCCAGGAAGTCCACAAGCCAGTCACTTGCTTCTGTTGCCACTCTCAAGCAACTAGCCTCTATTTGCCAAGACTAAAAACCATCGTTACAACCACTCTTCTTTTTCATGCAAAACATTACCTTTCCTTTATTCAGGGTCTTCCCTCTGCCAGGTTTTTTATTCAGTGTCAATATTTTATGCTATCCTTTAAGAGCTGCTTGAATCAATGCAGTGTTCTTAGCATCCCTCTTCCCCTGCAAGTTTCTGTACAGATGTCTTATCTTTCCCAAAGGTACAGCTAAACAGTTCCTCAAAGGAAACCAGGTTCTCCTTGAGTCTGGCATCGCACGGAGCAGTCAGTCATTCCTCCACGAGACTTGAGAAGGCAGAATACCAGCAGTCCTCCTCCTCTGGGCTGGAGGAGCATTTTAGTACGCTGCACTTGAAAGAATCTCCACTCAAACTAAATGGTGAGTGAGTAGAAGTGGAGAATAGAGTTTTTTGCCTTTTCTGAGGATCTGTTCAGCTCAAACCATGTTCAAGTGAAGGGGAACAAGGGGAGGAGAAAGCTTATTGGAGCTGAAATGAATGTTATTCTCAGAAAAAGGGCCTGGTTACTTGAAGGAGCGTCTCCTTCCATATGTGCCTGCCCACCCCTTAAGGTCTGGGGCAGACTCCCTTCTCCAGGTGCCCTCCCTGAAGGAAATTAGGAGGGTGACTACCTAGAGAAGGGCCTTCTCTGCAGTGGCGCCCCAATTGTGGAATTCGCTCCCCAGAGAGGTTCGTCTGGTGCCATCACTTTATTCTTTTTGGCACCAGACCAAACCTTTTTTATTTTCCCAATGTTTTAAGGCCAGTTTTAATTGGGGTTTTATTATTAGTCACATTTTTAGGATGCTGTGTTTTAATTTTTTTACATTTTGTATTGTCAAACCATCCTGAGACTTTAGTAATGGGACTGTCTAGAAATCCCAGGGACTGGATTTGGGGATTTCTGCATGGATTTAGGAACTCAGCATTGGCTCTGCTGCTGAGCCAGCAGATTCCAGAAACCTCTAACTGGCACAAAGATTAGTTTCCCCCAAATTTCACAGACCTAATCTTCCCAACATGCCCCCATTCCCATTTTGTATCCCATGACTGGAGCAGTGACGTTGGGAAGGGGAAAGATGTGCCAATTTGCACAAATTTTCCCAGTAGAGTAAGCCTGATTGAGACCTGTTTGCACATCTGGAAATTGGCACTGATGGAATGAGGAAAGGGCAGCAATTTTGGGGAGGAGGCATTTGAGTCCTGATAAAAACTCTGAGCTAAGGATCCCTCAGTGTTGTTTGACGAGACGTGGACAAGCGTTCATTCGGAAGTGCCTTGGACAAAGCGCCTCTTTCTTCTTCCATCCATTCTTCGAAGGGGATTGTATATACTCATCATATCTCTCTCTCTCCTCTTTTCCAGAAACGGTACCCACAGAATCTTTTTTCAAAAGCCACCAGGAAAGGAAACATTCTGGACTCTACCGCAGCCACAGTGCTCGTAGCAGAAAAGTAAGGCCCTTGTGATGCTGGGGCTGATAGGACTTGTATTCCCCAAATTGGGAGAATCAGGGTCAGAGACAAGTGCACCACTTGGCTGATGGTATTGTAGGAACTGTTGGCCAGCAAATATTCAGGGAGGGCTCAGTAAGTTCCAGGGCTGGGCAAGATGGGGACCACCAGTTTGACACTTTGCTCTTAGTACAGCTCCTTCTGACCACATTCTCAGCCTCTCAAATCCTGATATGCGAGCTGAGCATTTGTCTCACCCAAGATGGGGAAGGTGCATGCCGAGAACCGTTCAAGATGGCACCTCTCACATCAACCCACCCTGAAAGGATTGGCTGTGGCAACAGCAGTCCTTCCGTTGGGGAAGCTGAGAAGCAGACAATGGCTCTTGAGGCAAGAGCATCATTGTCTGGTCATCCCTGCATACCATGGGTGTTTCACTAGAATGTGAGAGTCTGCAATGTGGGGCCATTTCCAGTGACCCTCATACTTTGTTCTTCAAGGGAGCTGAGAGTTCAGGCCATGAAGGGCGTCTTCAATCAGCAGTCCAGATTCGGTCCAGGCCCACAGGTATTTCTCTCCTCTCTCCAATGTAGGCTAGAATCCCTTTCCATTGCAGGGAGTAGGAGTGAAGTCAGATATATTGTCTCTGAGCAGTGAATCCACTTTGGATCCACATTCTCTCTTTCTGCCCCGACTCCACAACCTCCAAAATGAATTGAAGGCACAGGCATCTGATTCTTCCTCCTGAGAACAGTTTTGCTAGAAGGATGGGCTACAAATCCAAATCATGCAATGCAACCCATCAGTAAGCTGTTCCTGCTGAGTACTGATTGGCCAGCCTTTCTGGCAATTATAAAGCCCTCTCCAATCCAATCAATCTATCAGTAAGCTGCTCCTTCCAAGTGCTAATTTGCTAACCCTTTTGGCAATTAGAAACCTCACTCCAGTCCAGTCCAGTCCAGTCCAGACCATCATTTAGCTGCTCCTGTTGAGTGCTAATTGGCTAGCCCTTCTGCCATAGCCGTCCCTTCCCAGCCAACTCATTGCAGAGTGTTGATTGGCTATCTTGCATTTGTGATGCCATTTCCTTCCCACTGCACCAGTTTGCAAAGAGAACTGGCCAGCCTGTCCTTGTAGCCATTATGAAGAGCCTGGCGCATTCAGGCAGTCACATCCCCACACCAAACCATCAAGAGAAATGCTTTAAATCTTTCTTTTCCAACTTGTCAATGGGTTGCCTTTGCAAAAAAAAAAAAAAAAAAAAAAAATTGAAAAGGTGACAGAAAAATGATTATATGGCTTAAACATGCTGCAAAGAAAATTTGTAAGTAAAAAAGAGCAGATTTGCACCAAAGACAGGCCAAATTCTGTGTTGCTGTCAGAGCCAGGACTGGGTGACCTTACAGGAGTGGATGTGGAGCAGAGCTCACTTCCACCCAAAAATGGGGTGAGGAGAGAGGGACGCTGCTCACTCCTAAGGGAAAAGATATCCTTCTCCACTTGGCTGGCCAGCCTTTCTCATTTTAATTATCTCTGCAGCTCCCTAGATGCCACTGGCACAGTGATGACACTTCTTGCACCCTCTCAGAAAATTAAGTGCCTCTGAGCTTTTCTACTCATTAAAAAATTAGAAGATTTCAAAGGAAAATGACTTGGGAAGTGATGGGGGGAGGACTCAGGTTCTGTTGTCTTGGATGCAGCTTTTGGAAGTGAGATTTCTTCATTTCCAAATGTTTCCAACATGCTCATTCATCTTGCATAGGCTCTGAAATTGAGGGTGAGGGGATTTGAGTGTTTGGGTGGGCAAGGCATGAACAGGGCAGAGCGTGGGTCACTTCATGTCCATCACTTTCCCAGTAGTTGTCAGGAGCCATTCTCTATTTATTTTCACTCACGGGGCTCCAATGTGAGTTCTCCATTTGCCTAAACCAGAAGTGCAGAACCTCTTCCAAGCCGAGGGCCAAATTCTATTTTTGGAGAAGTTCTTAGGAGCACAGCAGCTCCTAAGAAGTGTAAGAACTCTTTGGAGGCCCAGTGGTGGGCCACAGTTGAAAGGAGCAAGGCCAAAGACACTGGCGTAGTTTGGCATAAAGCTCTTATGCCCAGTAATGGAGGCTTAGGAATGGCCTTAGAATGGTGGTGGAAAGGACTGTAAAAAGACTTGGAAACACAGGAGTCTTCAGCACGAGGGAAGAGTGTTGCACTCTTGGGAGCCCTGTTGGGCTAGGTTTGTCCCCTGCCTGTCGTTTTGTACCACTGGTCTAAACCGAACTTCCTCCTCTGTTTTCTGGCCTTTCATTCCCATTAATTTCATGGGGAGTTCCTGAGTTCTTACTTGAAAAGGAGAAAAACAACTCTCTGCACTGTGCATAATTTTATACACCTTTATCTAACTGCCCTCAAAGCAGCAGCAAGGTGTGAGGACATGTGAATGGGGTTTTCCTGTCCAATACTGGCATGAAGCTTTGCATCTCATAGCTGGGGAATGTATCAGGAGAACAAAGTGATTCTTTTGGTAGATCATGGACTTGCAAGGGCCTAGCAGTAGAGTAGGCCTAACTGCCTGCCCCTGCTCCAGGCTTGCCAGACCTCTTCATGGGTTGTTCGAGGTTAGCAAGCCATGTCTTGTTACTGCAACAAGGCATGGAGAACATCATAAGCCACCTGTTGGCCACAGTCCATAGCAACAACCACATTCAACCCTTGAATATTGGTTTTATTGTGCTGCCTGAAACGGTCTTTAGGTTGGGTTAGACCAAGGGGCCAAATAGGCCAATAGGGGAAGTTGCCTCAAGGCCTAACCATAATAGAGTTTAAACATGAAAAACGTCACTTGCATGTGGCTTATACCCTTTCACCCTCCTTTTTTTTGAAGATAGAAAGCCACGCCCACTTTCTGACATGTATCCCTTTGCAACATACCCAATGTTTTCCCCTGCATTCCCGCAGCATCAGCAGGTAAGCGTACTGGTTTGTTTCTGGAGTGGGGATCCTACAGGGGATGATGAAGTCTGGAGGATGGGAGGGGGCTGGGAAAATAAAAAGAGAAAGCATCCTAAAGAAATATCTTCAGGATGGATCTCACAGAACCAGGCCTATGTGAATTGTAGCCCTCTGACACTTTGCTTCAAAAATAGTGGCATAGGTAGAACACCCCAGTTAAGAATATTAGAAGAGTCCTGTTGGAATGGACCAGTGCTGTGTCTACAACAGGCGCCTGTTTCCTGGCATGCTGCCAGATGTCTCTGAGAAGCCCACAAACAGGGCATGTGTGAAGGCAATAGCCTTCTAATAAGGAATCACTAGATAAATCCAACCCCTCCCCAAATACCCATGTATACCCAATTCTTCAGCAATGCAGCCCCTCAAAGTGGATTACCAATAATGATAATAGCAAAGGTAATCCCTTAAAATTGAACAGACATGTCACTAATGAAGACATAGATGGATAGGATAGAGGAAAGAGCAAAGGTAAACACCAGTTCTTAATATAACCCCACAGGTAAGTGTAACCCAACAAAGGAACCAAAAGTAATGACAGATTTGATGCGGACAAATTGGTGAAAGCAAGAAAGAAAGAAAAAGAAAATGTGGGGGCAGGTGTCTTAACAATGGAATTTTTTTCTATAGCCTTTCATGTTTGCAAACAAAAGCAATAAATAAGAATCAATATTTTAAATTTTGTTAATTTCAATGGTTTGCCTATCCCAATCCCTTCATTACAGCCAGTTCATATAACTAGAGTTCTTGTAAGAACCATCTGGGATGGAAACAGTTCAAGTAGCCTGCTTGAAGGAGAGTCAAAGGCAGCTGGTGTCTCAGCAGAGTCAATGAGATAGCCCAGCTTCTCCTCTCTCCCTCCCTCCCTCCCTCCTTCAGCCTGATTAAAGGGCTGCTTCCAGTTGATGTTATCAACAGTTGAGATTATATTGTGTTACCAGAAAAGCCCCCACCAGCTTAAGACCAGACTATCTCATGTTGTCTTGAGCTCATGTTGTCTTGAGTCAGGAAATTGGAAGCTAAGGGTGGGGGGGAGATGATGCTGTGCAATGGTCATGAAGCTTGTTCCAGTGCAATGGTGCTTGCTTATGACTTACCTTGCATGCATCCACATGGATGCCTCACATTGGCTTAGTCCTGCATTGCCTGATGAAACAGCTGAACCTCACTGTATAGCTGAAGGACTATCCAGTGAGGAGAACTTCCCTAGAAGCACAGCCAGATGCTTCAAGATACAATACAGGTCTAAGACCACAGGGGGTTCTTTGCTGGCCAAGGAGCAGTGTGGGTGGAGGGGGTTCAGTTTTCTCTCCTTCCATATGTATCCATCCCTTTGTTTCTCCCCTCCTCATCTCCCCCACCCTTGGTGTCTCTTTTCAGTCCTATGGCCCCCACCAAGGTGGTGATGGATTTGCACACAGGGACCATTCCCTCTTGTCACACTTTCACCAAAGAGCTTCACGTGAGTATCTAGCAATACTAAATCAGATTCAATACTGTCTTGCTCATCCAGTGGTCCAACCAACAATAACCCAGAACAGGGCAGTGTTGAATGAGCTTGAAGAACAGGTCATCCAGAGTATCATGAATATTTGAAGGGTGTCTGTACAGATGGAGGAATGTTGTTTTCTGTTGCCTCTAAGAGCAGGGCCCAGACCAATGGGCCCAACCTATAAGAAAGGGAATTTCAACTGACATTAGGAAATCCATCCTACAGAATGAGCCATTTGACAGTGACACAGACTGTCTCAGAAAGTGGTAGATGTTCCCTAGGAGGGATTTTAAGCAGAGGTTGGATGCCCTCCCTCCCCATTAGGGACGTTGTGGTAGTGTATTTGCCAATCTTGACAAGGAAACTGGACTAGATGAACTTAGAGAGCTCTTTCCATGCTGTGACTGTCTTGAATGGCTCAGTTCTGGATCATCCCAGGAAAGTCTCCTTCTGTATGGGCCCTGCTGGGATTTGAGAACATCTGATGCAGTTCTCCTTTAGGTTCCATCTTAGGGGGATGTTAGGAGCCTCCACAAAGAGCAAGTCCTCCTGAGTTGAGGCCCAATGCTCTGAAATTCTCTTGCAAGAAGCTCAAATTGTTACTTCCCAGTTGTCTTTTCAGAAGTGTATAAATAGCTTCCTGCTGAAGAAAGCATTTATTTGCATTGTTTACACTGGTTCCTGCTTTGGGGTATCAGTGTGCATAGAAAGCTCTCCAAGCTCCAAGATCCAGTTCCAACCATGCAGCATGATTCTGAGGCCACAGCTCATAGTCCAAAAAATTCTATGGCAGACTAGACTCTCTCTTGCAGACATGTTGTTGTTCGGTCACAAAGTTGTGCCCAACTCTTTGCGACCCCATGGACAACATTCCTCCAGGTTCTCCTGTCCTCTGCCATCGCCCGGAGTACACCCAATACCACTCCCATCTCTCCAGTGACCCCATCCAGCCACCTCCACCCCTGTGTCCCCTTCTCCTTTTGCCTTCAATCATTCCCAGCATCAGGGTCTTTTCGAACAAGTCCTTCCTTCTCATTAGGTGGCCAAAGTATTTGAGCTTCAGCTTTAGTACCTGACCTTCAGTCAGGGTTGATCTCCTTTAGGTTTGACTGATGTGATCTCTTTGGACTTGCAGACATAGGATCGTGCTATTTACTAATGTTTGCACAATTGTCTTGATTTTGCCGATTTTTACTAGTTCTCGTTTTGTATTCCTGTTTCCTTACAAACCACTGTGAACTTTGCAGAAACAGCAGGATAAAGTTATTTTACCACCAGCTCCCATCCACACCTGGCAGCATGACCATTGGCCAAGAATGATGGGAGTTGTAGTCCAGCAACATCCATTAACACCTATGGTACCCTGTGCCTAAATGGTACTTTCCTTTTCCCTTTCAAAGAACTTTTGCTTCAGGATTTGGCCATGAAGACTCTCAGAGCAGCTTATAGGAGATCAATAACAAAGCAGACCATCTCTGCCCTCACACTTGCAAACTAAGTAAAAACACAGCAGGGAAACATGCTGATGAGGGCAGAAGTGGGGAGAGCAAACTCAGGCACAAGTTCTGAGCATCTTGAGTTGAAACAGAGAGGGATAGGAGGAGAAATGGGAGCAGAACTGGTAGTGAGGGTCCTGCAACCTCCTCTCGCTCTGTGGCAGACTCATGGCACAGCTGCTGCTCAATGGAGCCATGATCGTTTTGCAATGCGAGGATTCATCCAGCAGTCCCCAAAGCAACACCTTCAAGAAGAGTCCAAAAATTCTGGCCAGTGCATTGGTCCTGCCCACCCATGTTGCAACCCCCCTTAGGACACCAGGGGTTTTGAGGGATGGAGAGCCCTATGAGCTCTGCTCCTGATGCTAGGGAGGAGTTGAGGGAGAGGTTGAGCCCTCCAGCCCCACCTTTCTCTCTGCTGGCTGTTGATGGTGGGTCTTCTTCCCCTATATCCCCTGAAGCCACCTTCCCTGACTATTAAAAGGACTGAAAAAAGCCTATCCTTTCTTCCCCAGATCATGGAATCCATATATCTGGGCATGACATCTTGGGAATTCAAATTGGAAATGGGAACGTCATGCAACTTGAACACGATCCTGAGAAGAAACTCCCAAAAATCCAATAATGGACATCTATGGAGCATGGAGGATTTCTTCTGGACAATCCCACTCCTTTCATTGGAGAGCACCCCACCCCACCCCAGCCCACCTCAATCCCTCTTCCTAATTTCCCACTGCTCTCACTAGCACACCATCTATCGCCTTTGAGCAACGTCCATGAGAACTGCCTTTGAGCAGATGATGGCCAGCCCCACTTTACCATGTGCTTCCAGATGTGACATGCTAGGCGCTTGCCTGAAATGGTAGCATGACCTGATCTGGAATTTTGAGGACCAACATCACCATCTTGTAAGATCAGGCCACCGACTCACAGTCCTGCTTGGTGTTTAACAGCAAAGGTGTAGGAGAGAAACACGCAAGGCTCCAACAATGCCACCTTCAGCTCTTGGAGAACCCTTAGGCAAAACTCCTTCAGTGGGTTGCCACCTGCAGTGAGCCTACCTTCTCACCATCACTGTCACCGGCCGCCATTGCTGCTGCTCTTCATTCTCATCACTGGTCCTCCCGCTTGCTTGCTTGACAGGCAGAGAGCCAATTAGCAGGTAGGGAGTGGCATCCATTGTCCCTCCTTCTCAGCATCAGAGGTAGGCAAAGAAGCCAGTGGCAATGATGCAGAAGAGGAGCTAGTCCACGGAACATTTGTCAGTTGGCCTCTGTTGGAGGATGATCCCTTGGCAGTTGTCCAGCCATGTCCACCCTTGATGCTGGCCTAGAGCCCAAACCAAAGAAGGTTTGGTTGTGCTGCTCCTATATAAAACATTGAGGTCGCTTAAAAACAGGAAGGGATACAGGCACAGTTAAAGTGTGTGAGGGGGTGCATGCATGGGTCCCCCCCCCCACAACTGTTTCCCCAATGTAGGTCCCCAAAAGTTCCTTGAATTTCTGGCACAATCCATGCAGGTTGAGCCGGGGATGGATGAATTGGACCATTGTGCTTTCCTTCTACACTCACTCTTTTATCAGCCCAAGTTCTTTCCTTCCAAAATATGGGGGAAATGGCAAATTCTAGAAAATTCATATCAAAAAAGAACTACATTGAAATTCTCACCTTCACCAGCCAATGCCATCAGAGCTGAGGAAGGGCTGTGCTGTACTCGTCTGCCATGTAGCCATTTTAGCCGACCGGCACGTTCAGCCATGTTTGTGAGGCAGAGTTAGTATGCAACCTCTTTTTCTGGCCAGCTTCTTAACTTTAATGGCTACATGGGTGTTAGCAATGCGACCATGTTTTGGACGCATCCATTTCTTCACTTCCAGCTTTCACACCCATGCAAAATGACTAAGCAAAGTAGATACATGTGTATGTGAGAACACAGTGGCACCAAAACTGCTATTGCTTTTGGGTATGCTTTTTATGACTTAAATTTCTTGTTGTTGTTGTTGTTGTTATTGTTGTGGTTAAAAAACCCCCCACACATTTTAAAGACACACATTTCTTTTAAAAAATCCCTCAGTGTTCAAAACTTTAATATGGAATCAGTGGGTGCATCTTGAGTAAACCAGACTTTCTTTAAAATCCGACACGACATTCCTTTTTGGAAACAAGATCAGCAATGTGTAGCTGTGCAGAGACATTTAAAAGCTTCATATTTGTAAAACAAGCATGTATATATGCAATTTTAAAAATGCGTGTTTTAAAAATCCAGGAGTCTTGAGTGCTTTTTCCCTTTTAACGTACACCCCGCTGTGTACAAAAGAATCAGGAGGAAGCAAATTCTGTCAGCTGATACATGCCAATCAGGAAAGTCAGAATTCCACCATTCCTTCCAGAGGTCAGAATCGGCTGCAGCTTAAGAGGGTGATTGCATGCACTGTTTGTGTCCGTAGGACAGCTTGTTAAGCCTTGTTCTTCTACCCTGCAGGGGTCTGTGATACTGAATGCATTTTATAGACCCAAAGAACTGGAAGGAGGAAATGGGAGGGGTCCGCACCAAGTGGAATGTCAGCCCTCACCCTCCTTCGGGACGCGCCTTTCTTCTCGGCTGCTCTGGCACATCACTCAGGAAAGTGTTTATTGTCTTGGCTTCTCAATCCAGGCCCTGGGTCAGCCTGCAGCTTGCACTGGGCTTGGCCACAGGAAGGAACTGTGGAGCCTCCTGTCTTGGCAACCGTGGCTCTCCTCACCAAAGTCATGCAAGAGAGGGAGAGCCCTTATCGGCCTGCTGGGCCTTTCCATGATGCAAGCAGAGATGATGAGGAAAGCTCGAATATGGGCTGTGGCACTGAATCTCGGCTCCAGGACGCATGCCAACAGACACACCAGCTGAAACTCCCAAAGGGAAAGCCTTGAGCTGCTCACAAGCAGGAATTCAACAGGTATGGCTTGCCCTTCATCATATCGGCATGCAGGGGCAACTTTGCCTGTTGAATATTTTTCCTGGCAGGCAATGTCAGAACTGTGTTGGATCAGACCACAGTCCATCTGGTCCAGGATTCTGTTTTTGCATGGCCAAACAAATGCCCAGAGGAAGAGGCAGGTGGCATAGCTAGGGAGCAATGCACCTTGGGACTGAATTTCAGATATAGGGGATACATGCATGGTTAAGGGGACTTTGAAAGCAGGGTTTCTCCTCCAACACACTGATGGAGTTCAGACAGCTTAATGTCCCACACTCACAGGCTGAGCTGGGGATTGGGTTACCCTTGCTTTATCATGTTGTCAGAACTGAGCCAAGATAACAAATCATGGTAAGCAATCCGTGGTTTACAACCCAACAACAAACCGTAGGTTCCCTTCAGGGTTTGATCACAGTTAACATGCCATAGCTTGTTACTTGAGACAGCACAACGAACTTTATTTCAATGACAATTCATAGTTCAACAACCCACAATTGCCGAGTATGGTTCATCGTGTTGTCTGAGCTCAGTCACTGACTATTATTTGGTGCAAGTAACTTATGGCCCTCCAGAGGCTTTGGCCCACGACGCCATTTGGTTGTAGCCACCTTGTTCCATGCTGCATGACCATGAGAGCTGTAGGCCAAAGGACCACAAGGACCACAAGTCATCCACCCCTGAGAGATGTCCTTGGACTATTAAAAGTTACATGTGAAGGTTCCTTGATCTGGACCAACCTTTTCACTCTTAGTACTCTGATGATCATCAACTCTGGATGGTCCCAGGTAGATATACCTTCAGGCAGGGCTATCTGAGGACCTTCTTAACTGGAAATGGCAAAGGCTGAACCAGAGCATGGACTTGCTCTTGAAATATACTGCAGCCCATTAAGAATCATGCCAGACAAGAAATCTAGCAAGTCTGGTCTTCCTACGCATCCGCAGAGAGACGATGGCATTTTTTCATCTTCACACACAAATCGGTTCCTCTGACCACCAGCATCAGCAAGCCAAGGGTTAACTCCAGCCTCTACATGGCCCATGGTGGCTGGTGCTATATAGCAGCCTGTGACTGGGGGCTCATTAGTGAGACTCATTAGGCATGGAAGGACAGGCAAGGGCAATTCTCTGGAGCCTTCCAGTGGGCAGCGAGAAAGCTAATTAGCAATGCAGGAAGGTGGATGATTGATGGGAAAATGAAGCGTGGGTGGATGGAGAAGGGAAGCAGCGGGGAAGGTAGGGAGAGAATGCTGGGAGGTCCTTGCTACAAGTCCTGCATTGCCAACTGCCTTCTTGCTATCATTGAAAAAGAAAAGTCTTGCCTTACTTCTGAGTTAGGCACATTTAGTCCCGGTTGCTTTCCCATGCACAATTGTGTGAACCAATATTAGGCCTAAAATGAGATAATTTGCTCCGTGATTTCAATGGTGAGTGCTATGATAACAAGAATGGATGCTAGTTGTAACCTGGATCTCTGGCACAGAACCATGGAAGGGCAGAACTCAAATCACTGGAGAACCTCGTCAAACCGAAGCAGCGCTTTGGGGGCTCCTTCAAGCTGATAGAGCACCAAGACCTGCATTAAGGGGCCAAAGATCCCCTGCAGGCCATGGACCCCTCAAATGACCACCTAAAGAGCAGCAGGGAACAACACATCAGGGCAGCTGAAATAGACCCTGTTTTCCCCCCATGTGATTGTGAGGATGCCATTCTTAATGTGAGCTTAAAATGCAACATTGCATTTTAATTTTAAAATTGCACATGATCAAGGTATTTATCCTTATTTTAATCAGCATTGACAAAAAGGATTTTTGGTATTTTAACATAACAGGCATGCGGAGGCAGTTGCAAAGCATGGAATGGTGGTTGTAGGGTGCAGAAAAATCTTAGTGGTGTGTTTCACATCTGATGTGATACTCTAAAGCCCCCCTTTCCTGCCCCCAGTAAGACCTTGAAGTTTAAGGTCTAAATTAGCTAGTGGAACCGATGTTCCGTGATCTCATTATCTAAAGAAGTAGCTACAGAGCACTTGGACATTTTGGGTGCAGGATCTGGTCATCAATCCTTAACAAAATCGGCGACAGAAGCCCTCCTCTGGGAATCCTCTTTAGAAGACATTAGGAGACAGAGTACCCAGAGGAGGGCCTTCTCTGCAGTGGCGCCCCGACTATGGAATGCACTCCCCAGAGAGATCCACCTGGCGCCGTCGTTATTTGTTTTTCTGTGCCAGGTTAAGACCTTTTTAATTTAATCAATATTTTAATATGTTTTAATATTGAATTTTATTGTTGTATTTTATTAACTTGCAGCCAGAGTGGGTCAATTTACTTATGTTGTAAGCTGTCCAGAGATGCAAGTAATTGGACGGCATACAAATTTTATAAATAAATAAACAAAGAAACAAATAAATAAAATGCTTCTTGCACCAAAAAAAGTACACAAAAAGTACAAAAAAAGTAACACCCAAAAAGTAATAAGGTTCTGCCGCCTCTGCATGTACTTTTTAGTTAGTTCAGGAGAAATTCCATCCAGGAGGTGAACTGGGCAATGGGATTAATAAGGAGGGTCATAATCAATCTTGATAGTGGATTCATTTGGAACTTGGGGTTTGATGGTGTACTTTTGATCACACAAGGATTGTTGCCAGATCTTTCATTCTCCTGGCAAATGTTGACCAAAGGGGGGCTGTAGCTTGAGCAGCTAGCTGGGAGTTTGAGAGCAGGGGCTGAATAGAGGGTGATGGAAGCAGTGCAAGGGGAAATGGCTTGCAGAGGGACCTGCCCCACAGGGTTCTGGGTTGTCTTCTTTGCCATTGGGCTTCTCAAGGCTTTCGTTGGCCAAGGAATGGTCGGTTTCAAGTCACAGGAGCTCCTGGCTTTTCAGAGTGCGTCGTATCAATTGTGGAAACGGCAGCCTGATTCTGCTCTCTGACTATTCCGTGACATAAACTCCAGTGAAGAGTTGGCTTGGCAGATCAACCCTAAGGCCTGTCTAGCTCACCATCTGGTTTTCTGCTGCCACTAGGCTGCTACCTGTGGGCATGTACAAGCAAGGTGTAAAACTGAGGGGCTTCTTTGCATACACTTTCCCAGTGCCGAGACACACAGTCTCCTGATGCACCCTGCCTCACATTCAGTTAACTTGAGTAGCAGTGGTCCACAACAGCTGCTTTCTATGGGTAGATTGCTCCTGCATCTGGAGGTTCCATTTAGCTGCCACAGTGACAGGCTCATGGCAAAACTTTCTTCTCTGAACATTTGTTATATTATTATATTATTTTTACTCTCTTCTCTTCTATTGGCCCAATAAGCTCTCTAGGCAAATCACAGCAACAGATCATATGCAATAAGAACAAGTAAAAATGCACAGTACAATAAATCATCATAAAATACAAAACAAAATGCAAAAACTACAACAACCTATTCAATTAAGTCACAAGACTTGTTAAGCAGTTGACATAATGCCCCAATGTAATATAAAATTAATTAAATGCCCCATTATAGAGGGTGGTCTCAACCTGGCACTGAAAAGATATGAACGTTGATGCCAGGTTGGTCTCAGTGAGGAGCTTGTTCCATAACTGGGGGGTGGGGTCACCACTGAAAAGGTCCTTCTCCTTGTGGCCACCAACCAAGCCTCCCTTGGAGGTGGCAATCAGAGGCAGGCCCCAGTTCCTGATCATTGTACGTGGGACGTTTGTGGCCGGAAGTGGTGCTTGCTCAGGTACTGAGGTCCCAAGCTGTGTGAGTGTTCTGGTGGTGGGGAATCTCTGTCCCTTCACTTGCTGCAGTTTGACTCCCAGTCTCATCTCCCCTGACCACTAGCCACTGTGCTAATAGGGTTCATCATCTGCCAGCCGACTTGACCTCTTTCTATCCCACCATCCATCCTATGCAACTCCAGTGGGGAGTGAGCATGGATGTGGACCCACTATAGTCTCCCAGCCAGGCACTGGCCAAGCTTGGACCTGCTTAGCTTCTGCAAAGCTGCTGCATCATGTACCATCAGACCACGTCCTGCAGTGACCATCTGGCCAGAAAAGCCTGTGCAGGAACCCTCTGGCCTTTGTCCATGGTGGTGGAACCCGTCAAACAGGCTTAGCTGAACCTTCAGGCCTTCTCCATGCTGCAGCCTCTTCCTACAACTGGGGGGGGGGCAAATGGGGGGGGGTGGAGAAGAAGGACATGAAAGTGAAAATTCTCCTCCCTCGCACAAACATGGGTTTGTGTTATCTAGCCGGGGTAATGAATCAAGGAGAGTGACAGAAGGCCTGGAGTGGAAGGCACAGTGCAGTGGAAGAAACTGAG